CCACCGAGAAGACACCTCTTCGTTATGGGTATCCTACCAGATCCCTTTTGCCGCTTCTGCGAAATAAAAGAAGAAACGGCTCGCCACTACCTCGCAGAATGTAATAGGTATGCTATGTCTAGATTTGAAATCTTTGAAGGAGAGGACATCACCAAATCACTCCCCGACATAAAATGGTTCAAAATCTTGGGGTTTGTGAACAAGTCCAAGAGGTTTATGCGGGACACGTGAGCCGACCAAGTCCCGGACCTTTTAGGGATGGGGTAAGAGTCTACCCAGGCATTTAACCCCTCGGGTCTTGGTCGCCCACCCTGCATAATATATATAGCACAAGAGAAAATATACCAATCAGATAAATTACCAATATTTAAAATTTCACTGGACAATATACTTACAAATCTATTAGATTTCGTGGTCCGATTGACCAAATAACATCTTTCAATTAATTAATCTTTATGTGAGGTATTGGCTGAAATAAAAAATGTAGTATCACGAGCGGGATTCGAACCCACGATCTTCGGCTTGATACGCCGCTGCTCTACCACTTGAGCTATCGTGACTTCGATCCACTCGGACACTAACTTCCCATCTCAACATACCTATCGAATTTTCCCTCCTTTTTGAAATTTTTCAAATGTCGTGTAATCAGGATTCGATTCTCGGCGACAAATGAAATTGCCACGGAGAGTTTTAGTGAAGATATACTTTGTTCTACTTTTTTTATTTTTTATTTTATTTTTTTACGCGGGTTCGCAACAGCAGAAGTTATTATTATCAACCCTCGGGGTGCCGGTGTTTTTGAAAAAAAAAAAAACCATTTGTAAGTATGTCGGGTTTGAATGAAGGGCCGCTGGATTCGAACCCCGGACCTTTACCTTACAGTGATAGGCGCCGTGTCAACGCCTAAACCGTTGCGGCCAAAGACGCCCCCGTTCAACTTATTAAATCCATTATATTTCGTAATCCGATTGACCAAATAACTTCTTTCAATTAATTAATATTTATGTAAGGTATTGATTGAAATAAAATGCTTACAAATATTAACTTAGCATATAGTAAAATAGGCAAAAATATGGACAGTATCTCAATAAATAAACTGTTTCAAGAAGAATTAAGTACTTTATTTCCAATACTTGTGCTATACTCTGTCGGCTCCAAGGCTGATGCGAAATCGGGATGCGGGTTTTATGTACCCAATGAAGAAGTATGAACGGAAAGTTAGGTGGCCGGATGAGGCCTTTAAGTGTGAGGAGGGGCTACCGTTCAATTACTTTCGATAAATCAACAGTTTAACCGATTCCAAAAGTTCCTTGGAGGCGATTGATGCAGTCAATGCACACAAATTAACCAATTACATAATACTACAAATAAGGAACATAATTCGAGTTTAAAGGAAAACTTTTTAGGTTTTTGAGAGATATTGGGATAATGGGTTGTGTAAAGTGGGGTATTTATTTCATAGGTTAAAGTTTAGGTTATTTTTATGTTAGAATAGGGGTATGCTGGGCGGCGGTGCAGTCATCTCACGGCTCCACCGCTGCTCCGCCAAGCCGTGTCGTGGCGGAATATCGAGTATCCTCCGACCCGGACAGAGGATAAGCATGTGTGATTGGGTTTGTATATAGGAGTATGTATGTATTTATTTTATGAGTGAGTGTGGGAATGACTAGTTTTAGGGAACGTAAGGACGACGTAATGACCGAAGAAGTCGATGGCGCCCGATCAGAGCCCTGTCCTGAAGGTCGCTCAGGCACCAAGGTGGGTGACTCCCCCTGATCCATCAGGAATCTCGTAATTCTATAATGAACATAATTGTCGAAATGAGGAGAAATAAAGAAATAAAACTCGCCTTGGTTCGGATTTCAGCTCACTGTGGAATTTTTGGCAATGAAAAAGCGGATTCGTTAACGAGAAAAGCAACCAGAGAACCAACATTATTAAATATCAGTGTACCAATGACTAATATCCAAGGCCAAGGCGAGAGGCATGAATAGTCAGGCAGACTCAATGCAGTGAGTGTGGTAAGGGGCTGCTATATAAAGTTCCTGCCATTTCGACCTGGTTGTCAACGATCACTCTTAAAAAAAGGACTGCAGGACAACAAGGGTGAGGCTTAGATCCAATCATAGTTGGGCAAATATCACTTAAAAAAGATAAATCAGGTACAAGACGAAAAGTGCACGTGTGGTAGCATAGAAACATTGGAACATATAATCATGATGAGCCCACTTTAAACTTAGGAAGATGCTTCGTGCTATGAAAAACGTAGTGGGAAATATGGTAGATATTCAAACATAATAAGCTCCTGTTCTAGTTTGGTGATTTTTGAAATAGAGAACTTCTTGAATAATAGAAACAAAAGAGTATGATTATATTAAGGGTTGTAATAATAATTGTAATTATTGTATTAATTAATTTATTGCTATTGTTATATTTATTTGTTATTTTGAACACATTTTACATTATTGTATGATGTTGCAAATGGCTCTGGCAACCAGATGATGCCAAAAATAAATTTTAAACAAATAAAAAATAAAATGATTGGAGTAACACCATGGTTAACAAAGAACTAGTCAAGAAACAAAAATTTACTGGTGTGGTCATAGGGGGTTTGGTACGCATTTAAACCCATCACATAAATATGAATAAGAAGAAAGGGTATTAACTTGGTATTGTTTTGAAAAATTGAGAGAGAGAGAGAGAGAGAGAGAGAGAGAGAGAGAGAGAGAGAGACAGAGGGAAAGAGAGAGAGAGACAGACAGACAGACAGACAGAGAGAGAGAGAGAGAGAGAGAGACAGACAGACAGACAGACAGAGAGAAGTATATGTGTGAGGGTTAGAAAGAGGACTCTCACAGACTGAAAATAAATTCTGAGTTCGCTTGCTGACAACCAGTGTCTAGGTGTGGGGAATTCTGCTTTATGGAAGCGCCCTTACCAACCATAATGATCCATCTATACATGTTTTTTTTTTTTTTTAGATTATATATTACAATTAATTGGATTAAGCGGACGGATTGGATAAATTAAGCGGACCACGAAACAATGGAATTAAATTATATATTTCAGAAAATACATCGATGTTACTCAAACATCGGTTAATTATTGTGAAATTGACGTAATTTATAAAATCAGTCTTTTAAATTGTCCGGCAAGTTACATCGGTATTACATCCCAATATCTGCATTAAGAGAGAAAAGCAACATATCTATGCAAAAAACCCAAACCAAATCCTACAGCACTGGCTACCCACTGTTTTGAATACAAACACAATTTCGACGTGAACAATCCAAAAATATTATACACAGAACAAAACAAACATAAACGTAACTTTTTCGAAATGGTTTACATAAAGAGAGATAAACACAGCATCAATTACAGAACAGGCATATGTAAACTCAGTCGCAGCTACGCTAATATTCAAATCAATATCGATAATATACATATATCATTATCACATCACACAAAACATATAATATAACATATAAAACAATCATTATATTCTACACATCAAACATTTATACATAGTCTTCAATAATTTGGCTTTCCTTTCCCTAATTATCCCCGCCCATATAATCCTGAAAAGATAATCAGGCCGAACCATTACACATTCTTTCCCATTGTCGGCTCCTTTTACCTCAAAGAAGACGCCTCCTCATATAAATATGTTTTCTGTCCCAGCTTCCTTCCCCATCAATTAAAAAATCCTATGTATATAAACATATCAATATCTCACTGGCACTCTCAACACGACCCACAAAATGACACATCTACACAGAAAACAAACACTTTGATTGAAATTATAATTTCCAGCATAGTACAAATTCATTTTTTTCCACATCCTACACGTATCTGTACAACTTAAGCAATGTTTATAAATCCTAGGCCCTGAAGATGATCTCAATAAAAATCGAAACGTTGGCACGATAAAGAAAATGTTTTTCTAAAACCTACGTCACACCAGACCGCATCTCACGATCTCCAAATAATCATTGTGAAACTAATTTCATTATAATGTTCAATAAATGGTTGAAGTAATGAGAAGCTGTCATTTATCACTACATCAACCGTTTATTGAACCACCGGTTGCTAAACAACACACATTATAATGTTATTTTCCTGCACACAATTATGGGTGTTTTATATTTTAAAGGAGTAGCTAAAATATTGCAATTTTTTGTACAAGCAATCTGACCATGTAAACAACGCTTTGATAGGATTAAAGTTTCAACGTTAAAATATTTTAAAATTAGACTAGCATGATACAACTACTATATAATTATAAAATAAAATGATTGCATCAATCAGCAACATTTCTTTCTAAGTCATTTAGTATAAAGTATTCATTTTACAGTTCAATTTGTTTATATTGTAAAAACGTTTATTGGATAGTTAGAATTCCTGAATCCTCTCTCTTGTGTTCAACCTCGCGTGAAATTAAGAAGGAAGTTGGCTTCTCACGATTGAATAATCAAAAAGCAATTAGCTAAACACCTGACTAGTCAACAACGAAATAGAAGGGCTTAATGCCCTTAAGGCACACTGCTGTCAAATAAACCGCCTTCTTGTATTCTCATTTATTTAAATAATTGATAAAGGATTTTATCTCCTCTCGATCTTTCCTTGTTTGCATTAAATAGTGACATGGACAATCGCCTTCTTATATCTATGTTTACACAAATGTGGAGCCGGTCGTGGAGGATTTCGGGTTGGAATGCCATCAGATAAATTTTTGGCCCTTTTATTCACGGATGATTTTGCTTAAGTCAAATCATGGCATTAGATTTGATAAATTACAAAAAGGAAATGTTGAAACAGTCTTAAGGTTTGATGAAAATGAGATCAAACATTTTAACGAGTTAATTTTTATTTTTTATTTATGTTTTTTAAAGAACGGTTTTACCTAGAACTAAAAATAACGTTACATTTTTTCTACCTTTATAAGAAAATAAAATTGTAAAATTAAATTCTTCAAATTGTATTTCACTGTAAAAGCTTTTAAATTTAATTTAATTCTAGTTTAATTTTATATTTTCATTCTGAGACTGTTTCCCACTTTTATCTTGCGCGAGCAAATATTTTTCATTAAACATTTATAAATGATAACGAGAGATAGTCCAAAATAACTTATGTATTTAAGGTTGAAAAAAATGTGGGCGTTGACACGGCGCTCATCACTGCAAGGTAAAAGTCCCGGGTTCGAACCCGATATACTTACAAATGGGCTTTTTTATATGATCTATTTTGAGAAATGACCTCACCTGTTACGAACCCTTGTATATAAAAAAATATATATTTGGCCAGCATTACACTACTTTCGAATTATTTATTAGTTTCATTATTATTTTTGGTATACATGATATAAATGTATGTTCAATTTAAAATTCAAACACTAACACATCTATTACATACTTACATAATTAAAATTACATATCGAATAATGTACTTCGAATCTATAATTAATATCCAATGAGCACGGAGATGATAAAACTTGAAATTCTTATTGTCTTTTTTCAAACTTTAAATTGATTGAACCTTCTACGATCGTTATGACAGATGTCGAGGCGAACTTCAGGGACTTAGGCGTCGTGGGTGATGGGAAAACGTTAAAACGTGACAGGGCAGTTACTAGGCCTAGTTTAGTTTGCATCATCCCGAATCTCATACCTACAAAACAAAATAAAACAATAAGTTAATTATTTTAAACTATCATAAGATTAAACATTTTTAAAAATTTGTTTAAAGTCGTACTTGTCTTAGGTTATGTTTGAAATGAAGAAAAGTAATACAAAATTTATCTTATGCTCCACAATGTTTTAAATCAAACAAACCCTTTCAATTATGCATATAATACGTAGAAATATCCATATACAATTGATAATAAAAAATCACATGAATTTAGCTAAATTTGATAAAATAATTAGGAAATTATTAGGGGAAATTGGTTTTTTTTATTGTATATAATATGTCTTATGTGATGTGTCTATTTGTCTAAGTGCATGTATTTATTAGCGTGAATGGCGAGGGGTGAGGGTGAAATATAACGTCATCATCGCCCCTCGAACGTTGAGAGCGTAAGAGTGTTTGTTCGGGGTCGATGGCGGTATATTTATAAAAGTACTCCATCGACGCCAATTTTGATTAGTTTAAGTATAGGTCGATGGAGGAATATCAAGTACTCCACCAACCAAACGGAATGAGTGTACTATATGGATGTATTTATGTGTATGAATGTATTTATTTCTATGAATGTAGTGTTTGAAAGGGTAAATAGAATATAGACTTAGTTGGGGCTGAAATGACCTAGATGTCGGAAGCCCCAATCAAAAAAAAATTCAATTATTATCCTTCTAGTTTACAATTTCATAGCTGTAGTAAAATACTATACTGAAAGACAGAGTTGGGCAAAATCTATTGGGTTGTCCGGAAAATAATGCAGGATTTTAAGTTTTCATTAAAAAAAATCTATATAAAATATTCTGTTTACGTTTACAGGATTACTCATTTGTATGAACACTTATTAATCCTCTTCCAAATGATATTGTTTGTTTACCTCTGTAGCATTCCGCTACTTGGAAATAATTCAGTCATCCTTATAATGTCAAAGCGAGAATTTCGTACGATTTTCTTTTACGAGTTTAAACTCGGCCGAAGCGGAGTCCAAACGGCTAGAAACATTAACCAAGTCTGGGGCGAGGGTTGTGTTAATGAGTGCACTGTGCAAAGGTGGTTTAAAAAATTTCGGGAGGGAGATTTCAGCCTTGAAGATGAAGAAGGTCGTGGAAGGCCTTCCTCTCTTAATGATGATGTTCTGCGATCAGTGGTGGAAGAAAACCCCAAAACAACTGTTCGAGAACTTGCAGAGCAACTCAAAGTCAGTAAAACGACCGTCGCTGACCACCTCAAGGCGATTGGAAAAGTGAAAAAACTCGAAAATTGGGTTCCACACTCATTAAACGATCGCCAAAAAAATCAGCGCTTTGATGTTTGTGCATCACTTCTTTGTCGAAACAAAAATGACCCATTTCTGGCCAGAATTGTTACATGTGACGAAAAGTGGATTCTCTACGATAACACTAGACGTTCTGGACAGTGGCTCGACAAAGGAGAAGCTCCAATACATTTTCCAAAGCCCCCAACTCATCAAAAAAAGGTAATGGTTACGGTATGGTGGGCTTCATTTGGTTTAATACACTACAGCTTCTTAAATCCTGGCGAAACCATCAATGCTGAATCATACTGTAACCAAATTAATACCATGCATCAGAAATTGGCAGTAATGAAGCCCTCTTTGGTCAATCGGAAAGGGCCCATTTTGTTGCATGACAACGCTCGACCACATGTGTCACGTGTAACGTCACAAAAATTATTGGAGCTTGGCTATGAAACTTTGCCTCACCCACCCTACTCTCCGGACCTCTCGCCTACTGACTACCATTTTTTTAGACACCTGGACCACTACTTACAACACATAATATTCAAAAATCAAACGGAACTGGAAAATGCATTTATTGACTTTATCAATTCTAAAAATTCTGAATTCTACTCAGACGGAATTAATAAGTTACCAACACGTTGGGAGAAATGTATTGAGAGTATGGGAAATTATTTTGATTAAAGAACATTGCTTTAAAGTAACTAGTTTCTTTTTTTTTGTTTAATACCAAAATCCTGCATTATTTTCCGGACAACCCAATAACTAATTCAATCATGATAAAGAATTTTGATTGAAGTTTAATCATGATTGAATTAGTCATGAGTAAATTAATCATTATATGATTTAATCATAATTAATTCAATCATGAGGTATGACTAAATCATATAATGATTAATTTACTCATGATTAATTCAATCATGATTAAACTTCAATCATAATTCTTAATCATGGTTGAATTAGTTTGATTTTACCCAACTCTGGCTACAATGACCAACTTACCAAAATCCAACCGACTCCGGATAAAAATTTTGAGATGAGTCGTGCTCAAGGCCAACCTTCAAAAAGTGTTATCATAAACGAAAACCAAAGTTATATAAGTGTTCTACATGTCTATTTTATTACTATCAAGACCCCTAGATGGTGTATTTTCCAAGTAATGTAGAAATCTCTCCTTTTAAGTGGAATAAATTTTAATTCAAAGAAATATTTTTTTCCATTGATCGGTTATGTGAACATATTTACTTTTCAAAGCGTAGCTTGTTTTAGGATTTTTTAATTTTATTTTATTATTATTATTATCATTATTATTTTTTTGGGGGGTTTTCATAACGAAGGAGTTTTACTTATAATTGGAAGATTGATTTTTGTTAAATAAGGTGTTGAAGTATTTTCGTTTTGATGAAATAAATTTCTGTTAGAAAATTTTTTAAAAGTGATGAAGTGTATTTTTCATTTTTTGAGCACCCATTTGAACATGATTTATCGAAATTTAGTCATGACTAACTATATTGTGACTAAATTAGTCATGCCTCGTATTTAATTACTAGTCATGACTAATTTAGCCATCAATCACATATGGCGACTAATGACTAAATTAGTCACTTGCTACCAATCATGACTAACGGTCTGAGTGATCAATCATTAATCATTAGACATGACTAATTTTTGCCCAACACTGCTGAAAGATAAATTATTTTCAATTTTACAAATATTTATATCTACAATGTTCACATTAATAGTTCAAGTGGTTAATCAATCACTTTATTCACGGTATATGCCAGGGCATAACTGAAAGAAAAGAAACAGACCCCTGTTGATCTAGGTATTTTACTTGATTAGCAGGTTGTATCGCCTTCTTGTAACTTCTTAATTATAAATAGAACTGTTAAAGTAATAATAAACTCCATTGAACAGCGTGAGGAAATAAAACCGGCTGTGATATCTACAATGTGGCACATTTGAAGATTTATGAAACAAAAGCATTGAACTGCTCCTGGAGGCTATTACTTCTTGAGGATAATGGTGCAATTTCTTCGGGAAAACATTAGAAACGAACTGGTTTTACAGGCTGAACCAATGACAAAGATCGATAATTATTTTTACAGCCTGATAAATCATGTTTAAACACAACTTGCGACATAAAATCCTGGTAAATTCTGATTAGCCTAAATGTTTATTGAACTGTAAATATTTTTAAATAAATTAAAAAATTCAAAAGTTAATTATAGCTCTACAGAGAAATTGTTAAAACGATAAAATAAATAGCAAGAAGGACATTCCTGAACATCGTTGTTTTTCGCCACTAGCATAATTTGAAGACAAGACAGCAGTCAGCGTTTGCCTCGCCCTGCTTATAACCTTACTCGCAATGTCATACAATTTTTACAAGGTGAGTACTGTCATAATTTATACGATAAGTTGACTTTTCTTCTTCGAAAACGAAGTAATTATGTCCTGCTGATTAAAATAATAGGGCAGGCAGTTTTAAGACTTTTTGAGACATGCTAAATTGCCCAAAAGTAGGCCCAGCGGACAATGAGTTAAAAATAAGTTCTTCGTTCAATGTGATTGTATCTGAGGATAAAGGCAAGTTAAATCGTTATCAAAGGACCATCGCAGAATTTAATGGTAGAACGATTAAACCTAGGACGTGTTCGGACTGGAATGATGGTAGAACTGCAGACAAGGCAATGCTCACTCCGAAGGCATATGTACAAATTCGGAACAGTAGAAACAAGCCTCTCCAGATAAGCCTAGAGGAAGACGAAACAACGAAACATAGAACTGCTTACGAAGCAACGCGGACTCCGGAGGCATATGTACAGATTCGGAACAGCAGAAACAATCTCTCCAGATAAGCCTAGAGGAAGAAGAAACAACGAAACATAGAACTGCTGACGAAGCAACGCGGATTCCGGAGGAATATGTACAGATTCGGAACAGCAGAAACAAGGATCTCCAGATAAGCCTAGAAGAGGAAGAAACGGCGAAACAGGTCTTCTGTTAGTGTCAAGGTTTATGCAGGCTATGTTTCCTACTCCTGAGAGGTATACACATTGGAGCCGTTAAGAAAGCTTTGGGGTCTGATAAAAAACACCTCGAACTCTCGACAATATTGAAGATTGCATAATAGACCATTAATTGGTCTCATAAAGGTCATAAAGAAGCCGCATGCTTTTAACTATGATTATGATAATGGAGTACTAGGAAGAGGAGGTTTTCTATTGCCCTCTTACTGCAGCCTTCTGTTGATTGTACTCTTCGTAGTTTCTTTGTTCAGTTCAATTGACCGAATCATTATTTTAAAAAGTATTAGGACATTGACTGACATTTGTGCATTTCTATTGTATTTCTCGAATCTTCTTGTATATCCATTGAGCGGTTGGCTTACATTCGAAGATAATAATTATGGGTGGGGGTTTCTTCCTCTTCATTGCACAGCATACAAATAGGCTCATTACTGAATGTACCCGTATGGTAGGTGTTTTCTCAGATGCCATTGACCGGTACCACACTCCTGAGTTTTACCCTTTCTAACTGAAGCAATGTGTTTCTTAGTTTGTCTAAGGGTTCTTTAATAATAGGTATTACAGTTAAACTAAATGTGGGTCGATGGAGTACTCAATATACTTTACACATCTCTACTCTAATAACCTACGTACTCTAATTATACATTTTTCTCAAAAGACATATAAGCACAACTGTATACACTGAAAAATGAAAACGCCCAAAAATTCACTCAAGATAAATTCTACGCTGTGGCCTAGTGATATGGGCGCCCGACTCGTATGCACACTGGAAGTTCTGAGTGTAAATCCCGGCGAAACCCATGTCATTTAACTGAAAATAATTTGTAAAAGGTGTTGTAAATTGGTTTGAGCCCTCGTTCACGATTTCCAATGGATAGTTGGACGTTGTTTTCCTATTTGACTATTTCACTTTACAGATGTACTCGGAATATGGCGAACATTGTTGGGTTACAAACTACTTTTCATATTTACTCGATACAATATCATTCACTAATGATGTACAATAGTAAGTGTTTAAAAATTTCAATATTATAACAAAAATGTTTCAAAATGTGTCCTCTTCGTTTTCCAAACATTAACTAAAAATTAATTAAGGTTTTTAGTTGAGATGAAAAAAAGTTAATGGCACGAGAGGGATTCGAACTCACGACCTTCGGCTAGATACGCCGCTGCTCTCCCCACTTGAGCTATCGTGACCTCGATCCACTCGGACATCAACTCCCCATCTCAACCCCACCTTATGAGTTTTGAGATGGGAAGTTGATGTCCGAGTGGATCGAGGTCACGATGCTCAGGTGGTAGAGCAGCGGCGTATCTAGCCGAAGGTCGTGGGTTCGAATCCCTCTCGTGCCATTAACTTTTTTTCTTCTCAACTAAAAACCTTAATTAATTGTCATGTATTAATTGGTCAAGCGGACCACGAAAGTAGTGAATTAACTAAAAAGTTGAGATGACTCGCCAACCTACACCAACTATCGACACAATAAACTAAAAGTCGACAGTGGGTGTTGATATCCCAATGCTAAACACCGTTTGTCCCGCGTTATGTTGCGGTTGGAATACATTTTGAAACATTATTTCGTATTTGTAGGTTTGATAAATATTTGAAAACGATTATTGCTTATTTATTTAAGCTCCAATCTGCACATGCATGTACATACGGACATGCATGTGCAGAGTTTAGCCTATCACTTCTCACAATACACACAATAGGTAATGTAATTAACAATAAATTACCAACAGTCCTCGAGAATCACCAGACCCCGGGTGCTGCAGTTCTGGGTCAGACCTCGATCTTATCTGTGCAGCAATCGAGATTGGGCTCCGGGTACTGTTCACAGTTAGGTTATTCCAGAATCCAACTCTATCAGTTCCTAAATCCCAATCTATTCACACTCTCACTCATTCTTAACTACATACTTTCTTTCCTATTTACATACCATTCACTCAAATAGGGTAGTGGAATACTAAATATTCCTCCATCAATATTCACACCTATTATATAACTAAACTAATTGAAGGTCGATGGAGTAGTCAATATTGTACCAACGATCCCCTAATGCTACACATTCACACTAATGAATACATTCACTCTCAACATACGCAACAACTCTGTTTCCTCCAAGAATCGGAACAGGTGACCCAAATACTCACTGCCAATTCTCAAATCGGGTGGCATTCCTGCTCTCTGTTTGGAGCCAAGAAACTGAACCCTTCCATTGTAGGGATACATCCAGCAATCTTTCCCTGCATGCCCGACACTTAAGCGGGCGTTTGGCCAACAAGTAAGTGGAAAAGTTGAGTGGGGGTTGTTTCAGCTTTTTACGTGGTTAATTTTTCTTATTTATTATAACATGCTGTTGAAGGCAATGCTTACACTGATTATACTGGTTCTTGGGGCCCCATGATTTTAGGTCATAATAGCCCGGCAATTCTGCAAGCTGTAATTAAAGCGGCAGAAAAGGCCTAAGTTTTGATGCACCAACCACGATTGAAGTAAAAATGACAGAAACAATTAACCAACTTAGTCCATCCACTGAAATGGTTCGCATGGTAAATTCAGGCACAGAAGCGCCCATGAATGCCATACGACTCGCTCGTGGCTCGGATGTGATTATTTAATTAAATATTAACAACAAATTCATAGATTTTTTTTTCTACCCCATTTGCATGCAATTCACGTTTTAAATTTAGATTAAATATATAGGCTTTTTTTTTTTAATTTTTTTATTGGCCTTATATCTTGCATCTTGCATATTAGCCATAGTACGAATTATTGTGTGTTCAAATTGGGGGTTATCGGGAAAAAAGGGCCAGAGGCGACGGTGGGAATCGAACCCACGACCGCGGCGTGAGAGTCTCTCATGCTAACCACTCGGCTACCGCGGTCCCCAATATATAGGCTAAAACAACACTTACAATTTAAACTTCTGAACTTTTGCTTTGGTAGATTTCAGAAATTTCGACTATAATATCCGTTAACAATTAGATGTTATTCAATTTTATTCTACATGCATTTATTATTTTTAAAGTATTAAGTAATCTTTATGTAAGGTATGGGTTGAGATAAAAATGTCAGTCTCACGAGCGGGATTCGAGCCCACGACCTTGGGCTAGATACGCCGCTGCTCTACCACTTGAGCTATCTTGACTTCGATCCACTCGGAGACTAACTTCCCACCTCAACCCAACCTTTCGAATTTTTCTTCCTTTTTGCCATGCTTCATTTAACTTATTAAATTCATTAGATTTCGTGGTCCGATTGACCAAATAACATTTTTCAATTAATTAATCTTTATGTAAGGAATGGGTTGAGATAAAATTTGTCACCGAGAATCAAATAGATTTCACAATATTTGAAAAATAGAAAAAAGGAAGGAAAATTCAAAAGGTGTGGTTGAGATGGGAAGTTTGTGTCCGAATGGATCGAAGTCACGATCGAAGCTCAACTGGTAGAGCAGCGGCGTATTTAGCCGAAGGTCGTGGGTTCGAATCCCGCTCGTGACACTGACTTTTTTATCTCAACCCATACCTTACATAAAGATTAATTAATTGAAAGATGTTATTTGGTCAATCGGACCACGAAATTTAACGAATTGAATGTAGTAAGTAATATTTATGAAATGTTGTAAAAACTTACCGATACAAATCCTCGGGCCTTCTCCAAATGGAAGATACGTGAAAGGAACTATTGACGATTTGTTTTCTTCTGAAAAGCGACTTGGGTTGAACTTTTGCGGAGACGGAAAGTACTTCGGGTCGTGTTGAAGTGCGTACGTCGGAATTAAGATTTGTTCACTCTTCTTAATTTTGAGGCCAAACTCATCTAGTACGTAGTCTTTGGTGCACTCCCGAGTGATTAAGGGCAGGGTCGGGTATTTTCTCATTGCCTCTAAAAATAAAAATAAAAACAAAAAACTAATGTCTCATTTCTTTATCATGTTTGCGTTTTTACAACAAGCAATGTCAGTACAACTGTAAGGATTTATTAGACAATGACAAGATTAAATTATTTTTGATAGCCTTATCTAATACAATAAATCATATTTGTAAAACAAATTTCAGAGGCCGTATAGTTATGAGGAATAAACCAAGGACATTCCATTTCCTCTACATTTGCAACAATCAATCATGATTGGAGCTGTAATATAATTTTACCTTGTTTTTTATCCTTAATAGAAAATTGAATTTACAAATTGAAATGCACTCAAAATTTTGATTACATTAAAGGATTTTGAAGCATACCATTGATGACCTGCTCTAAATATGGCATTTCTTGCAACGCCTCGTACGTCGGCTTTCCGCCGTGTTTGGCAAGCACTTCGTCAATTTCTTCCCTTAAGGTTTTTTGAATATCCTGATTAAATGCTAGTTCGTAAAGAGCGTAACTTTGGACTGATGAACTTGTTTCAAAACCGGCTGCAAAGAAAACGTAACACTGTGCTGCTATCATTCCCAGATCCATCTCTGAAAAAAAAAAAAAACAGTTCAAGTTATTAAATTTCAGAATTTAACTAAGAGTAATAATAATCCAACTAATTCAGATAAAACGCCAGCTAATACAAATATCTAACATAAAGTGATTCATTGCCTTTCTTGATACTTATTATGATATCACTTTAATTATTATAACACTTAATTTTTTTTCCTTTAATGAATCTTTAAAACCCCAAACACTTCATATTTACGAAATGGTTAATATTTTAATAGTTTAGTAAGGGTATTTAGTTTCGAGAGAGAAAGATAAGCAGTATCATATTTCTTTCGCCCCAGGCTATTTTAAGAAAGAAAAGAAATTTCAAATTTCGTTATGAGCAGTCCATTACTTTTCTATTTAAGAAGAAAAATTAAACGACTATGAATAATGAAACCTAATGATTAAAAAATTTAGTTTATGAAATTTATTTAGATGTACTATTTTAAGTTAACTTTCACTAATAAAAAAATAGACAAAATACATAATACATCTTATTTATAGATTATTGATTATTATTCAGAAATCGTAATAAAAAAAATAAAATCTATCTAATGTCATAGGGTAATTTTTTTAGGGTTAAACTATATAATGTTGCCTTCTTATTAACATGTTGAACCGGCATTGGATTACTTATTCGGTCTTTAGTTAAGCTGTTCCTCACTGAAGATGGCTGAATCGGGTTTGAGTAGTTAGTAGTAGTAGTTGGAGAAATGTTAAAGAGAATTGACTGTATTAGTTCTATAAATAAAATAAATGTAATTTTATACTATATATTGGCTCACCTAACTCGTCTTTTTTTTGTCCGTCCTCATTTAACGGTTTGTTTTTCATTTCGATGAGTAAGTTTAAAAAATCATTTCTCTTCACATTGTTCTCTTCTCTGTAATCTATCGTGTCTCTAATGGTGTTGATGATGAAATCGTTTACTTTTCGAGGAACGAATTTTAAACCGAGAACTCCTATTAGAGATTTCAACGGGGAAAATCGGGCTAAAAAGGAAAATTTCACCAAATTGCTTACATAAGGAGGAAAAATTTTATCTGCCATGGTACGAAATTCATTTTTCGGGTCTTTGAGAGAGTTGGCTTCAAGGCCGAAGGCACAGGTGGCAATCACGTCTGTCGTGAACCGGGCGAATAGATCTTTTATATCGACGTCCTTTCCGACAGAATCGTCTAAAACTTTGCTCAAATTGTTAGCACATGCTTCGAAAAGCGCGTACATCATTTTCATCTTCCCGGAAGTAAACGTCGGAGTCAGCTTAACCCGAACGCTCCTCCAAAGGTCGCCCTCGAGGTTGAAAAGATGCTGGGATAGGGGATCGTTTGGAGAATATCTCTTTCCGAACCGGCTTCTAAAATGGGAAAAGTCTTTCACCATAATATGTTTTATAAGCTGGGGATCGCGTAACATCAGGTGCGGCGCTTGGACGATGTAAAATCCACCAAACGGATGAGGGGATAACTCATTGTATATTTTTTCAATTATATGCCCTTGGTAGATCTTTGACAAAAACAAAGGCGGTCTCGTTCCAAGTGGGAAACTGCCTTCAACATACGGATACCCTTTCTTCTTCCAATAATCGTAAGGGTTGAATAACTTGTAAATCAATACTATGAGCACAAAAAGAGCAATAAACTCAGCCAACATTTTCTGAAACAAAAACAAATAAATAGTAGAATAAAGTAAATAATTTTTTTTTTTTGGAAGTAAAAACAATACAATGAATTATAAGTATATCGAAATTTCTTTATATTTGCCCGTTTCAGGCTAATTTTCCACCCTCACCATTTAAATTTTTGCAAAACAAATCCATCTTAAGTAACAATACAATTAATTAAGGTTTTTAGTTGAGATGAAAAAAAGTTAATGGCACGAGAGGGATTCGAACCCACGACCTCCGGCTAGATACGCCGCTGCTCTACCACCTGAGCTATCGTGACCTCGATCCACTCGTCGAGAATCCAAACCGATTACACGACATTTGAAAAATGGCAAAAGGAGGGTAAACTCATAAGGTGGGGTTGAGATGGGGAGTTGATGTCCGAGTGGATCGAGGTCACGATAGCTCAGGTGGTAGAGCAGCGGCGTTTCTAGCCGAAGGTCGTGGGTTCGAATTCCACTCGTGCCATTAACTTTTTTTCATCTCAACTAAAAACCTTAAATTAATTGTAATGTATTAATTGGTAAAGCGGACCACGAAATTAGTGAATTTAATGAATTAACTGAAGTACACTTCACTAAAGCTCTCCGTCGCCATTTCAATTGTCGTCGAAAATCCAAACCGATTACACGACATTTGAAAAATGGCAAAAGGAGGGTAAACTCGTAAGGTGGGGTTGAGATGGGGAGTTGATGTCCGAGTGGATCGAGGTCACGATAGCTCAGGTGGTAGAGCAGCGGCGTATCTAGCCGAAGGTCGTGGGTTCGAATCCCACTCGTGCCATTAACTTTTTTTCATCTCAACTAAAAACCTTAATTAATTGTAATTTATTAATTGGTCATGCGGACCACGAAATTAGTGAATTTAAGTAACAATAGTGTAAAAAATATTGTTAATGTTGATGATGAGAAATTAGCCCACCTTTCAAACATAATAAACTTGATTTATTTAATTCATGACATTGTTTTTGTCCAAAACAGCTGTGACAAAATTAATTGAAGGAATTTAAAAAAATAAACGAATCAATAAATTTTAAAAAACACTCTTTTTATTTTAATTAATACATCCAAATGAAATAAAATATGGTCATTCCTTTTATGACTTTAAGAATGAAACAATGGTAAAACAAAAAGGAAACTTACAAAATTTAAAGGTTCTTGGCAGGAAAAAAATAATAGGAAAGATCATCTATTCAAAAATCCACTATCAGCCAGAGTTCATACAACACAGACCAATTGTGTCCCCTCTATTTTACATATTTAATTCTCACACAAAAAAAACATAAACAAAACCAAATAATAACCGAAAAAAATAAATATTAAGATTAAAAAAAATTAAATGAAAAAAAGCTCGTTGGAAAAAAAACAATTACAATATTATCAGTTTATGACAATATAGTTTTCTATAAAAAATACGTTTTTATTATTAAAAAACCCTGAAAGATAAACAAATACCCAAAATAAAAATGATTTATTTCGCAAAAGAATTACACATTTATAATATTATGTGAAAAAGAACTCTAAATTATATTTCAATTAAACTCTTGTTGAGATTAAGACCCATTGCTTATAAACACCACTAAAAACAATGTAAAGATAAGGTTTTAGCTAGTACAGAGAAAAATGTAATTTGACAATTAATGTGATTAATTATTACTATATTTTAAGGTAAATAATATGTAATTATAAACTTTGTAACAGCTGCCTGATGAAGGGGACGAACAGAGCCTCGAAAGCATTGCAGTCTTTTTTTTAATTTTATTATAAGAACAGAAAGTAATGCTTTTAGTTATTTGACTTCAATCCTATAAGTAAATTCTGTATGATATACGCCATTAACAAATAATAAACATCAAGTTCAAGTTTAATTAATTTATCTGTTTGTTTAGAATCAACGGCCTGCCCCGAGTTATCAATCTTAAGTATTTACGTTTTTATAATTGATTTTTATTCACTTATTTTCGTTCAAAATAATGTAAGTGCGAAGTAAATGTTTGATCAGAACAATCCAAACAAATACATCGTCAAATTGAACTGTCTCTGTTAAATCTGTCACGTATTTTATTAGCACAGGGGGTCAACTTCAGTCCCACATTTGCATATCACTTACATTGCTTTCATAAATATTTATTTAATCGGTGTGAATTTGTCTCATACCTAATAGAATCTGTGAAGTTGCCGGACGAGAGGTTGAAGTAACACTGCAGTCTGCCCAAAACAAATTAAACTGGCGTCTTGGTACGTTTCCCATCCCTTGTTCACTCTCGTACCGCTTATCTCAGATGAAGATAATTTATCAAAATATCTTATTATGCACATCATTTCATACACGATTTTTTTTAATTAATCAAAATTTATATTGACCAGGGGCCATCGTCGTACCTGTTTTACATATTAAATAAATAATTAATGCAAGATGTTGACATGTTCGAGCCAGGAAAACAGCGTGAATAATTTATATTCTCTTTTACTTGACTTTGATATTTATGATAATTTGCATAATATAATTAACCCATAATTTTACATATTTTAATATTTCTGTTGATGCTGGAGATGTCGCTTTGGAGGCTAATCAATCGTTTTTCCCGAAATCCGGATAAAATTTTCATCTCTGTGCTGTCACACCAATGACTTAAAAGTGAAGGAATTCTGAATGTCCGTTTTGCCATATGTCGATGTGCTTCAATAAAAGCAAAGAACACAAGGAGTAGAAACTGAAACTAAACCGCGTTCTACTAAGAAGATATTCGGCATGTAAGGAATGTAAGTAAGGAAAGGGTCAAGGACCCAAAGTATTTTAAAAATACCGTCTTCAATAAAATAGGACTCTAAATGGTGTCCTTTTTAGATGGCCCGGCTGAATTACTCTTGAATCAATGACGCTATCAAAAAAACAAAAATACGTGTTTAATATTTTTAGATGAGTTTCAAACGTTTACCTTTTTTGGAGAAAAATTATACAGGGTACCTCGGGCCAAGTTCAACTTAAATTTCAAATATGATCCTATTCATCCCGACACATCATTTTAAAGGACGTTGTAAGCTGAAAACAACTGTGATATCGCATTTTAAATTGGTCAAAAATGTTAGTGGTGGTATTGCGCATCGTGTACTCCCAGAAATTCCCAGAGTAAACCACAAAACGTTTATTCGTGTGGCTCGCAATATGAGGAGGTACGGACCAATTGCCGTACCATCACCATGAAACGGGCAGCGTAATTTCGACGAGGAGCTGTATGTTCGCGAAAATCCGAATTCTTCTATGCAAAAAGTTGGAAGGGTTTTAGATTTTTCCAAAACTCCGGACTTACAATTTTAACCCGTATCGCTCTCATCTTGTCCGGGGACTTCGGGTCTCTGGTTATGACCGGCGCCTAATGTTCCTTGCTCAAATGTCGATTTGGGAAGCAGAAGAAAGCGTTCTTCCATACATCCCATGGACAGATGAATCCAAGTTCACCTCTAATAAAAAATCACATTTCATGTTCGAACTGCCTCCCTTGCGTAAAGATGAAACGATTTGCTCTTTTTTCCCACTCTTCGCCGGTACTCAGAGTGATAGGGTCAGGGAAGATGGAGTGACAAGCAATTTCTTTCCTTTGCTTCAAGTGAGGTAGCTGAGTTATGATTGGCGTAGACCACTTTTCTTACCACGAGGTCCTATCCACCTATCCCAAAAGGGACGATTTAAATAACGTCTCACTTTCAAAGAATTGTGAGCGGGGCATCCATCAAGCTGGAGAATCATTCTTTGTCGTTGTTGCAGAGGAACTTCATCTAATGGTGTTGGTAATTTTCGTAGAAATAAAGCACAATTAATTTATTTCCGAGAACACCAAACGTTGATACTGTGAACCACCTGATGATGAGTTCGAAATTCTCCGATTTTCCTCTGCCCACGTTCGAAAATTCCAACGGTTTAGTATGCCATTGTAGGGAACATGTGTTCATCAATCCATAGGATGTTTGGATAAACGTTTTCTTCACACTCAAAATCGACATTTGTGCATGGAACGTTAGACGCCTGTCATAATCAGAGTCCCGAAGTCCCTGGACAAAATGAAAGCGATAAGGCTTAAAATTGTAAGCCGGAGTTTTGGTAAAACCTAAACCCTACCAACATTTCCAAGAAAGGAATTCGGATTTTCGCGAACATAAGTAAAATTACAATTAATTAAGGTTTTTTTTAGTTGAGATAAAAAAGTCAATGGCACGAGTGGGATTCGAACCCACGATCTTCGGCTAGATACGCCGCTGCTCTACCACTTGAGCTATCGTGACCTCGATCCATTCGGACACCAACTTCCTATCTCAACCCCACTTTTTTTTTTAGTTTTCCCTCCTTTTTGCCTTTTTTCAAGTGTCGTGTAATCGGATTGGATTCTCGACGACAAATGAAATGGCCACGGAGAGCTTAGTGGTGGGAAAAAAAGGTGGGGTTGAGATAGATAGTTGGTGTCCGAGTGGATCGAGGTCACGATAGCTCAAGTGGTAGAGGATTTTAAGGATGCTTGAATCCTCCGACTTAGGTTCTTTCATCACTGGGCTGCATCATGATTTATCGCATATCCAGACGATTCAAATACATAGATTAATACAGAAGGCTGGACAAAGTTTAAAATAATTTAACGTTTCTGTGCTTCAATTTTTCAAGAATATATTAATGGCTTAATTGCAATGCAGGCTAACACATATGTACCACCTCGTTAACAAAGGACCGTGGAGATGCCTCATGGATAGAAAATTTAACCTACTGTAAAATATTCTATTTCAATAAGCGCCATGTGAACAATAAACTACGTACTGGATAAGGTGTGGCCTATCCATGAGTCTCAAAGAACTTTTGATAATCAATAGTGAGTGCAGCGAGAAAATGCTTGGATACCTGAAACGGATAAATGCATCTAGTCACGTTTGAAGTCTTACACATGGTTATTCCTTGTTGTGTGAATGTATTTATTAGCTCGACCGTTTTGAGTATGTGTGGATAGATTTGTGTATATAGGCACCTGCGTAATATCAAACACTCTGATGACTGGCCATTTCTTTTAACTATACACGCTACTTGAAAAGTTTCGTTTTTGTAAGTTACTAGTGTGATTTTTGATGGGGTTTTAGGCGGAAAATAAAATACCCCACAGGGCTATCAAACTAGGTTAGTTATTACATGTTTATAGAGTTAGGGGCGAAACACCGGCATTAACATCAAATAGTGAAAAGGAGTAGGATCTGAGTGGAATGTTGAGGACCCTGATAACCCTTAAACTTAGATATATTAGGTCTACTTAATAAGTAAATATAGACCCAATAGTAGGTTAGTTATTACAACTTAGTAGAGTGGATTGGGAACAAAACCCTGGCGTAACATCAAATCCCGGTGATTCAACAATACTTTTTAACCGTATATACTGTTTTAAAATAAGGTTTTGTATGAATCTATTTATTAGCATGAATGAAATGGGGATCTCAGTGGACTATTGAGTACCCTGAGTAGACAGACCCACCCAAAGGTCATTAAAGTGGATTGAGGCGAGACACTGGCGTAATACCAAACACCCCGCATTCTTATTAACTGGATTTACTTTGTAAATTATTAGGTTGTGTATGAATGTATTTACTAGTGTGAGTGTTTCAGTATATGTGCCATGTGGTAGGTTTGTGGCGGAATATAGAATAACCCACAAATCACCAAAGCAACTCCATTTTTAGGCGATACAATGGGAGGAAGAAAGTGCCTGTCGTATTATCTTTGAATGAAGCAACTGCTCAATGGAGATATAACTATGATATCAAGAAGACCCAAGAAAAAGAAAACCAGCAACGACAATCAATGATCGAATACTTCTTAAGAGAAAGATCGAGTCGATTGAACTGAACTAAGGAACTAGGAAAAGTGCAATAAGCCAGAAGTCTATAATACTTGGATAATACGAACCCCCCTCCAATCATCTCATCATCATCCCGTCAAAGTAGATTTTGTTAGTTCACTTATTACAAAGGGGAGAGTCTCCAGCAATAATATCAAATATCATGGGTTTTTTAACTGTATGTGCTGTGTAAAAAATTAGTTTTTGTATGATAGTATTTATTAGTAAGTATGATAGTATTTATTAGTAAGTATGATGGTATTTATTATAGATTTAGTTAGTTCATTTAGTACGGAGGGGCGAGACTCCAGCAATAATATCAAATATCATGGTGTCGCAACTCTGTATATGCTGTGTAAAATTAGTTTTTTTGTTAGTATTTATTAGCGTGAATGAGGGAGGGATCTCATTGGAATATTGAGTACTTTGAGGATTGATGTGTATGTATAATGTAAATAGTTTAATAATGACAAAAAGTACAACAAATCTGATGAGGAATCGTTTTATTTTCTAACACTTTTAATTTGTCAAAAATTACTATTATTCAGTTTCGTCCATAAGAGTTGAGGGCGCTACCGGTGGACGGAATTCCGCCATATTTCCTGCTTCGTCTTCGGAATCGGCAGTCAGATCAAGTTCTCCTTCCCCTTCCATATGATAAGAGGTGCGAACTGTACCCAAAGTGTCTTGAAAAGACGATTCTAAAACAGCAGATTAAAAGCAATCGTCAAGTACCATAAATTTCATTTTAAAAATCTGAGGGCGAACGTTTAAACCTACCTTCCTCAGGAATGAAAGTAGGATTGGACAGCGTCTCTGGTAGATAGGAAGATTTATCGTGTTCTTCGGGTATTCTATCTTCGAGGGCATCTCCTTTGATAGAAGCCACCGACGATGATGATTTACGGAATTCTTCAGCGAACTCGTCCTGAGTCCCTCCTTGCGAAATGGTATCTCCTTCCCCACTTCCTCCTGTCTTGGGCTTCTTTCTTTTCACCTGTCAATAAGAATGTATATTAAGAACACGATGAGCAGCATTAAACACTATAAAACTTTCTTTTGTATAATTATATTTCAAATATTAAAAGCTTACGTCTTTCTCTTCATAAACATCTCCTTGAACTTTTGAAGCAGGTGTTTCAACAAATGCTTCTTGCTCTTCTCCCCAAGCTTAAAAATTGTATGTTAAATATAGCAAACTGTTCTTAATAAAATACTGGATTTCACGCGACGTTGATAATAAGCAATAAACTCACATTCCATTTCCCTCGAGCCTCTATCGGAAAAGTCGCTGTTATCCAATTGTTCGTAGTCTTCTCTTTCTCCGCGGAACAAAGTTTTAAGCTTATGGTGATCGATTGTGATGTTACTGCGGGAAAAACGAAGTGTAACATTAAAAGTATACTTAAAACATAAATTCAAATTAATGCGAATTGGTACCGCCTTGGGAGATATTTGGATTTTTCAAATACACGTTTAGGTAAGAGATTCTCCTTGTGGAATACCAAAGCTTCTTCACTGTCTGGTGTAATTTCGAATTCTTTCCAGAGCCAGTCGTGATTCCAACTTTCCACTGTATATTGGTCCGGCGCAGTAGCTAAAACCCATAAATAAAGCATTAAAATAAATTAATTCTTCAAAACTATGATGGAAAAACGTACGAAAATTAACTCCAAACCTTATTTTTACATTGTTATTGAAATATGAATTATAAACGTAATTTTTTAAATACTAAGTGAATGCGATGTTGCTAGATATGCTGGGCGATGAAGATACCATGTCAACCAGCGCAGCCCTGCACACAGTTCATATAAACATTTTCAGAATTATTCTTTTAAAAAAAATTAAAAGCTTGCAACGATACTCAAGCAAGCAATACTATCGACAGCACTGTACCCGGATGACATGTCACTATGGCCAGCACTGCCCTGGAAGAACAGTGACACCTTTGCCAGCACTGCACAAGGACGACATATTTAAGAGAAAGCAACCAACCTTGGCACTCAAAGTATTAAGGGGAAGTGTAGATAAAGTTTGGGTACATTGATGGATTGAAAGCTTAGTGTGAAACGTTGAAAGGATCGTTGACAAAAGGAATATTGAGGTCGTTATGGATGTAAATTTATATAGTAGGAAGTTTTGACAATTCGTCTGAAGACTATTGATTAAAAGGATTGGCTGCATTGCCGGAACTCCACAGTTTGCTCAGTAACGACTTGTACAGTTTGTTGAGTTTTGGCGGGTAAAACAGATTTAGGTCCGAAAGTCTTACTTTTAGTTCGTTGTCGAGGTAGAGTCCTAAGATCTTTCTGGGTGGAAGTCGGTTGTGTTTGTGCATTTTCCCTCATTTAGTCTTGTCCTATTTTTTGCACAAGTATTAAATAACCTCATGGGGTTGTTGGATGTTGGATTTGTATGAAAGTCAGCCCCGGAAACAATCTTCACGACTTCCTGCAAAGTCTCGACGGACTATAAAGGAGAGGAAGAACACTGGAGAGCATCAGATACAGTGATATGATACACAGATGGCTCTAAAACAAACGAAGGAACCGGATCAGGCGTTTTCTGTACAAGCCCAAAACATGAGCAATCAAACTCATTACGGAAGTACACTTCGGTTTTTCAAGCAGAAATACATGCAGAGAAAAACTTCCTTTCGGTTTTCGCCGAGCTTTCGACAGTTTTTATACTGTCATCTTCAGGGCCTGTTTTATTATCATATAAAAAAAAACAATTAATTTTCATGTTTTTAATTGTTGTTTTTTTATATGATAATAAAACAGGCCCTGAAGATGACAGTATAAAAACTGTCGAAAGCTCGGCGAAAACCGAAAGGAAGTTTTTCTCTGTGTTAACCTCTTCCGTAGATCCTCCGAAAAAACTTCATGTTTCCAACAGGTCGATAATCCAGCTCATCGTTAGAAATACATGCCATCAATGCTTGAGCCCTGGAAAATCTTAAAAGAGGTTACACTGACAAAAAAATCCTGGTAAGATCAGAAGAAGAACCAGAACAAGAACCATTAAAGCACTAGCATGTATAAGAATCACATCACAATTAGTCAGTGAATGCATCTAAAATTTCCAAAACTTGGGGAAACACAACAACCTCATGATCTCTTGGAACCAGGGCACAGGGCAATTTTGGGTAACGAGAAAGCAGACAGTCTGGCCAGAGGAGGATCTACAAGACATACATAGGCCCTGAACCTATACTTGGGATAACAAAAACAAATATAGAATCCTCCATCGCTGGATGGATCCAAACAAAACGAAAGGAGAAGTAGACCAACTCTAGCTGTGCTAGATTAAACTTATGGTGAAACAACCCTCAAGACTGACAAAAGCATTGCTGCAATTGGAGAGGGCAAACTCAGAGAAGTGGTAGGACTACTAATCGGTCACTGGCATCTGAGAAAACATCTACACCACATGGGTATATACAACGATGATCCCATTTGCAGATTATGTAATGAGGAAGAAGAAATAGCCACTCATATTATCTTCGAATGCGAAGCAACAGCTCAATGGAGATTTAACCTAACGTAGGGAAAAAACTTAGGAAATCAAATTGCAGCAGCGACAGTCAATGACCTGATACTTCTAAGGAGAAGGATTGAGTCTATTGCACTGAACTAAGAAACTAAGAAGGTACAATAAGCCAGAAGGCTGCAGCGCCTGGGGAGCGGAAACCCTGCGTCCTAGTATCCTTTTTTGCCATACCATACCATACCATGAAAGTCAGCAGTATAGGGTAAACAGGTCGGGACCCATAATGCTCCCTTGCACATTGATTTTTGTTCTGATATATATTCATCTCACTCAGAAGCAGTAGGATTCCAGGATAATATAATAAGGGGCAGGTAGGAAGCGTTTATTACCGACTCGTGGGTGTCAATCATATCAACAGTATAAAGTATTATTTAAAAATAATTACCGTGTTCTTTTTCCCTTCTCAAGCGTTTCCTTACTGCAAACCCTCTCCATGAAGCCTGAAAAACGTTAACTCGTATAATGAAATTATTTATTGCTTATTAATTTAAAAATTAAATTGAAAATAACCTGTATTTTGATAGCGGCGTCAGTAGCTTGAAGAAAGGATATCTTGTGAGCCTCTAAAAATTTGTCCAGTGTGATTTCAGTGGGTGGGTTAACTGGAGCGAATTCTGAAAATGATAAAGTTTATTATAAACCATTTTTGATGAGTAGAATAATTTTTGTGTTGAAAATTTACCGTAGCTCGGTTTTTTCATTTTTTTCCTTGCCAAATAGCCCAAAAACGCAGCCTACAGACAGAACTATTAATACATATTTATTTAATCGACTCGTACCTTCCTACCTGAATAATAGCTGCTGCACGATTGGCGACGTCTAAGGACACACCAAAACTGATGCACAGAGAAACGCAAGGATCTTCCCCGCAGAGTACATCGTCTACTTCCTTCAAAGCGACTATTCGGGTTAAACAATTAAACAAATTTCATTTCCCCATCACCGCCGGATTTTATTTTTATTTTGTCATTACCCTTTGTGAGCGTCTTTGTCTTTATCAAAGCTTCCAAGTATTCAGCGATGTATGATACAATGTGGCACGGTTGATTCCTGAGAACCTTCAATTTTTTTTTCATCACAAAATCAAAACGAAAACTATCTATCGACAATGCTGTCTTTTTGTAGAATTATTATTGCAACATTATTGAAAAATAAAGTTAATACATAAAAATTGAATAATGGAATAACGTGTAAGTTAACTTGCTATTTTGTATTAACATGCTAACATGACAACAACATAATAACATGTTTTTTTATATTTGAAACGACGAAAAAGAGGAAAATTCGAATCTTATCCGTGAGCTATTTTTTATCAATATTTTATTTTCAACATACAAGGAAAAAACCGTATAAACATTTCAACAAATATGCTACATTGGTTACAAAATGTTTTTGCTGAAAATTAATTTAATTTTTTATAACTTTTTATACAAAGTCGCCTTTCTTGTTAGTAAATAAAATTTTGAAAGCCTTCATTGATCAACATGAAGAGCTTAATGCATTCCTGTCGATGGTAAATACCTTCTTTTGGGGGGGAAAAAAGCTAAATATACTGAGCTATAATAATTATTATTAATACTAACTTTTTTAATTATTTTTATCAGCTTATTCTTAATTATATAATTACTCAATTAATTATACACAATTTTTTCGAAATGAAAAATTTGTGTCCCAGGCGGGATTCGAACCCACGACTTTCGGCTATATACGCCGCTGCTCTACCACGTACAGTTGGAATAACCGTGGAGTCGAAATGGGAAGTTTGTGGTATGGGCGATCGAAGTTACGGTAGCTCAAATGCAGCAACGGCGTATTTAGCCGAAAGTCGTGGGTTCGAATCCCGCCCGTGGCACAAATTTCTCATTTCGAAAAAATTGTGTATAATTGAGTAATAATTATTAGGTATGTAGTGCCACAATATGATAAATAACTAAATAAATTTACCTCTCTCGCAATATCACTCATCAATTCGTAAAGCCCGTTTGGAATCGGGTACACCCTCTTCTCCCCATGTACTTGTAGTGTATAAGCCATTGTAACGATATGAAACACATAAAGAAATGAAAATAATTATAATACAACCTTACTTTAAAAGGTTTACCTAAGACAGCTGATTTAATGTGTTTCTCTTTGGATAAGTGACCCTCAAGTCTTTGTCCGACCATCCAACATGTGTTTTTATAAATTTATACAATTACAAATTGCACTGAACAGATTAAAGTGTATTTACTAATTTATAATATTAACGGGTTGAAAAAAACCTATTAATTTTTGGTTTTTCCCACTGATCTCGTACAATATAAAAAAGGAAAAGTAATCATATCAAAATTTTCTACTTTCTAATTTTTTTCATTAAAATGTAAAACAATGTATTCATGTTATGATATTAAGTTTAATTGAACAATAATTAATTTTACAGAACAGGACATTAATTTTGTGCTGTTTTTTCTGCCTTTTTCTGCCACATATCTGCCACATCTTTCAGTACTTTTTTATTTCTCCTCCATTCCAACGCGTCCTCCTGCGTTTTATGCTTCCACATATCGTAGTCTTTGTTGCTTTCTTTATGGATCTTGGCCTTGTTTTCGGCATCCGCACATGTCTTGTCAATCCAATCTGCCCACTGCTCGGCCACTGAAACTACGTCAGCCGCCCATTTGGCCCATTCTTTCATTTCCTGTTCTTTAAATGGTTCTTCGTTGCCAGGTTTGTTCTCGCCGATAGGTATTTTTTCTTTAGCCTGTGCCACTTTTTCTCTGACTTGTGCTGGAGAAACGGTTTTGACATCGTATTTATTGCCGTCTTTCTTGATATGGAAAGTAGGTCCTTTATCTCTTTGGCGCCTAGGTTTTATCTCTCGTTTTTGTCCTTTGACGCCGTATTCCTGTTCAACGTCACATACAATTTGGTCTACCCATGTCGAAAGTTTGTCACTTATCGCCCCGATTGTATCTTTAGTAATATTGTCTTGAGCAGGAATTTCTTTGGACAACCGGTGCCCTGCTACTTCCTTCAAGGCTTGTTGCCGCGGTGTAGTTTCCGGCTTCGTCTGCTCGATCCAATCTGTTACATGGTCCATCACTTCCCTTACTTTACTCGGATGTGCAGTTAAATCTCCTGAAGCTGGAAGACCTCCTCCTGCAGCTGATTTTTGCATTTTATCTTGTGGTTTGCCAGTCTCACCACTAGCCAGCCGTGTTGAGCTGGATTCTTTTTCAAATTTCTCATCTCCTCTCCTTCCGTCCTCTCCACCTGGTCCTTGATCCTTTCGACCATATTTGGCCTTCTTAGAGTCGACAGAAATACGCGAAGTTTCGCGTCCTGCGTGAGAAATGCATTCGTCGTCGTCTGAAATCGGACCTTGAGCTGTTTTCGCTCCTTTAGCTCCTTTAGCATATTTATCTTTTGGACCTTGGCTTTTGACTTCCTCGCTTCCAGCTCTTCTTTCTGCTTTACTTTCCATTGTGCCTTTGGTTGGACCCTTCGCAGCAGGTTTGACTTTACCTTTGCTGGAATCAGTTTCTTTAATTTCTGAACCTTCTTTCGTACCCAAGTGATCACTCTTTCCTTTTTCTCTGCTAGACGTACTGCCCAGTTGACTTCTGGACCTTTCATCTTTGGTTGGCAAGGAACTTTCAACTTTACCTGCTTTACTCTTTCCAACGTGGTCTGCATCGAGTTCTGATTTGCTCTTTGCAGCGGTGCTCGTTTTGCTTTCTCCCCCGCTTTTTGATTTAAGCTCAGCTCGGCTTGGTTCTTTGCTTTTCGCGACATCCTTCGTCGTACTTTCTCCTTTGCTTCCTCTGCTGCCCGGTTTACCACCGCTATCTTTTCTACTTTTTGATTTAATGTCGTCTCTACTTTCTCCTTCGCTTCTTTTCGCGACATCCGCAGTACTTTCTCCCCCGATTCTTTTCGCGCCATCCGCAGTACTTTCTCCTCCGCTTCTTTTCGCGCCATCCGCAGTACTTTCTCCTTTGCTTCTTTTTGCACCATCCGCTGCACTTTCTCCTCTGCTACTTGGTTTGCTGCCCGTTTTACTTCCTCCCCCACTTGTTTTACCGACGTCATCTTTACTTTGTTCTCTGCTCTTTTGGGCAATTTCCATAGCACTTCCAACTCTGCTTGCTGGTTGACTACACACTTTACCCTCAGCAGTTTTACCAGTAGCTTTAGATGAAGCCGTGCTTTTTGTTTTACTTTCCAGTTTACTTCCTGGAATGTTATCAGTTGAATCGTCACCTCTACTTTTTCCATGCGCTCCGTCCAATTTACCTTCATCACCTTTGCTTTTTGCTGCTTCTGATTTTGTAGAGAGTTTACTGCTCACCTTTCTTTCAAATAACGGACTTTTACTCTTGGATTTTTCGGCAACGCCAGTATCAGTACGACTAGGTTTGCCACTTACCGTTCTACTTCCTGTTGTACTGCCAGGTTTACTTCCTTGTTTACTACCAGCTTTGCTTCCATGCTTTCCTGGTGAGCCTTCTGCTGGACTTCCTGGAGAGCTTCCTGATTTACCTACAGTTCCTGGTTTACCTACAGGAGATTTACCACCATGCTTACTCTCAGATCTATGCTTATCCACATCCATTTGACTTCCACCTGTTTCTATTTCATCTCTCTTATCACTTCTTTTTCTCTCCCTTCCACCTGTTTCTATTTCATCTCTCTTATCACTTCTTGTTCTCTCCCTTCCACCTTTTCCATCGGGTCGAGAAGTCGTTCTACTCTGGATCTTTTCGTCTGAGCCTCTGTCTTGTCTAGGTGAGTATTTTGACGATGGACTTGTCTGTGGTTTGGACGAAACAGTTGAATGCTTTGATGGTTGTTTGGATGTTTGTTTAGAAACACTCGTGCTCGATCCTGGTTGTACTGCTTGTTTAGAAGATTGCTGTTGGTCTCCATGATCCCGTTTGGCAGCTTCCCTACTAGTTGGCCTGCTAACATCACTACTGCTCGGTCCACCTTCGAAACTTTCTGATCTGGCGCGTTTTGGACTTCCTGGCTTACTTCCAGGCCTGCTGCCAGCTCTACTCTCAGGTCTACTTCCAGGCCTACTGCCAGCTCTACTCTCAGGCCTACTCTCAGGTCTACTCTCAGGCCTACTCTCAGGCCTACTCTCAGGCCTACTTTCAGGCCTACTTCCAGCCCTACTTCCAACTCGACTTTCAGGTCTACTTCCTGGCTTACTTTCAGGCCTACTTCCAGGTTTGCCGACTTTCGTTCTTGGCTCGCTGTCCGCCCTAGACCTTCCTTCCACCCTACTTTCTGAGATGCTTCCTGATCTACTTCCACTTCTGCTGCCGGGCCTACTGCCTGGTTTACTCCCTGGTCTACTACCCTGACGAGTATCTGCTCCACTTCGTACTTTGCTGCCCTGACTACTAGTAGGCCGGCTACTCTGCCTACTCTCCGGTTTACTTCCAGGTCTACTTCCGGGTTTACTGCTTTGTCTACTTTGTGGTTTGCTACTATGTCTACTCCCAGGCTTGCTTCCGTGTGGACTGCCTTGCCTGCTCCCACCTTTGCTGTCAGGCTTAGCACCACGCTTATCTTCAGCGTCGTCACCACTGTGGCGGCTTCCTCCACTGTCATCGCCTCTAGATCCAGGGCCACCATCTTCTTTCGAACCAGTACCACCACCTCCACCACCAGCACCACCTTTGCCACCTCCACCTTTCTTTCCTCCACCACCTTTGCCGCCTTTACCATCACCTCGTTTCCCATCTCTCTTCCCACCACTTGCTCCTTTTCCTTTACCTTTCTTATCATCCTGTTTATCCGATCCCTCAATACTTCCTTCTTCGTCTCTCCGAGCCTTTTCCCTTTCTTCCCTTTCTTTTCTTCTTTCTTTATCACTTTCTTCAGCTATACCGTCCAGCCAAATTGCCATTCTGTCAGCTGCGAAAACCATTATTCTTTGAACCCTTGTTTTAGGGTTACTTAAGGTGGCTTCTTCTCCAGTGATATCGCACAAGTGCTTTAGAACAGTCTCAGCAATTTTTCGAACGCGTTTAGTTCTCCTTGCACACATCATCGCAACGACATAGTCGGTCAGTTTTGCTGATAACATTTTTGAAAATTCTTTCACCCAATAATGTCTTATTCCAAGACAGGTTTTCGGGCATTTACAGCACATCTTACTCTTGTTTTTGCGAATCGATACTCTTGTTCTACCATCATCTTCCTTAATCATGCTTACAGTTGAACTTTTTAATATGCTTTTTTCTTTTTGATCCAAAATGAACTCTTCGGCCTCCCTGGGGAAAAAATCTCATTTGTTAGAATATTTTAATTAAAAAAATATTAAAAGTGTTGTACAAACAATAATTACTTAATTCTTTAAGCGTAAATTATCAAAACTAAGTCAAACAAAAACTTACGTCCAACTACCAGTTTTCAATCTTTCAATTCAACAAAAAAACGGGTATTCTTGTTTTGTACCATGCTCGTTAATCACAAGATTCGTTCAACTGTGGACCTTTTATCTCTAATAACTATTATTAATACCTTAAAAACGTCATTGTTATGAGTTTTCATACCAATTAAAAATTAATACATCACTAGAAAAATCACGTTCAACATCAATATATTTTCAAAAGTTAATCGAAAAATGTTTTATTTAAATAAAACAAGGCTATTAAGACAAACATTTTATTTGAAGACATTAATTTTTGGAATTAACCAAAAGACATAGGATGAATTAGTTTAATCTAAAACCTGTTGTGCCTTTTGATGCCAAAAGGCAGCTACTTTTTTAAGTAGCTGCTTATTTCTTTGCCATTCCAAGGCATCATCTTGTACATTCTTCTGCCATTGCCTAAACTCCTTTTCATTTTGATCTGTAATGTTTCTATATTTGGCTTCCTTTCTGTCCTTTACTTTTTGTTGTGCTTGTGCACAAGTATCGTCAATCCAATTAGCCCACAGTTCGGCAACAGTGACAACATCCGTTGCCCACCGTGCCCAGGTTTTAAATTCTGATTTTAACAACGGACCTTCTTTAGATGGGTTATTTAAATCGGGATAAAAATGAGCCTTATTAGCGTCTACTTTATTTTTTACTAGTTCATCGCAAATTGGTGTAATGTCGTAAGCGAATCCATCTTTTTTTACATGGAATGTAGGGCCTTTCCTTTGTTGGGTTCTGCAAGGCGGCAATGTAATCATTCCTTTCTCAATGTCATTTATGATTTCATCCACCTCATTTTCAATCCACCGAGAAATTTTTTTAGCTACTGCTTTCACACTAGATTCGCCAAATTCCTCTACTGATAGTGTCGAACAAATCTTTTTTTCTACCACTTCTCTTAGAACATTTTGTATCTCGGTTTCTTCAGCTTCAATTTTCACATTTTCAAACCAATCCATTACTTTTTTAAGAAGTTTTCTCTCGTCAAAATCGGTCCCAGTCTCACTTTGGTAACCTTCTTCAACCTTATGACCCTCACTGGAAATAGTACGTACCATAGTATCCTGTTCCATTTTCTCATGTGAAGATACCGAAGTAGATTCGACTGGTACATCTTCACAAGTACTTGAAATTTTGGTTGATTTTTCCATTTCAATCGATTTTACATCCTCCCCTGCTTCTTCCTTCATTCCAACTTTTTCCGTTATAATGGAAGTTCTATATTTCTCGCTTGATGTTTTAGGGCTCAATCTAGTAGAGCTTACTTTCTGTTTAATTCTATCTACCAATTCTTCAATTTCTGCATCACCTATTATACTTTCTTTTTCTTTCACAGTTGAAGTGTCTTTTTGGGCATCTTTGACCGGCAACTCATCATGCTGCGAACCGGACTTAACACTAACTCTGGCATCAGGTTGTGAAAGAACTTTTCTTACTTTGTCAGTGGGCATCTCAGTACTTTCTGTTAGGTAGTCACTTGTTTCTTTCAAAGAAATGTCAGTTAGTGATTTCGACTTAAGCTTTATATCGGACATATTTGATTTAGTTTCCGAATGAGCTGCTAATGTGGGGCATTCTTGTGTTTCTAAGTCGGGGGCAGAAATTTTACTTGGTTCTGATACCTTTTCACTTTCAGATATAAGAAAATCTTTTTGGCTTTGTCTGGACTGATCTTTTTTTAACGTTTCTACTTTTGAATCAAAGTCAAAGGCAGGAGAGAGAAAATCAGATTCTTTTGGTAATTCCATACCAGGGAGAGATTTGTGATCTGGTGCTTCTGTTTCTTGTTCTTTTGGTGGTATTTCAGTACCCTCACCCTGTTGTGGCTCTGTTGTACTTCCTTCAAAGATATCTTCTTGATCAGTTTTAGATTCAATTATGCTATATTCATGTTCTTTCTCTGCGTAATAATCTAGAGGTTCACCCTCTGACCTATAAATTACCTGTGATATTGACCTAATATCCTCATTAAAAGGAGTCACCATTTCAATCATTCCAATGTCAGGATAATATTTCTCTTGATATGGTTGTTCCTGTTGTTCTTCTTCTAAATAATACCTGGGAGGAGCATTTTCATCATAATAAGGGTGCATTTCTTGTACCTCTTGCTGCTCAAATATTGTAGGTTGGCCACTAAGTATTATGGGTTGGCCATCTTCAGACCAATATTCTGGTGCCCTATATTCCTGAGCATCTGTCTTTTCAGTTCTTTCTAACATTGGTGGCACGTATTCAGAATATCGTTTGACATATGCTGGATAACCATCTTGTTCTTCAGTATATAGACCTGGGTGTGTCTCCTCATGCTCCACCATTTCATATTCTATAGACTCAGGCTCCATCACTTCATATCTAGGTTCAGGTAATTGCTGGGTATAATGTGACTGAGAATATTGTTCATATTCTGGCATATCACCTTCTTTGGATGAAATAGGTACATATTCTGAAAGTCTTTGAGGTTGTATTACATAATTATCTTGTTCACCAACTAGTGTTTGGCCATCTTGATACATTTCTTTAGGCTCCACAATTTCGTATATTACAGGCACTGATAGTCGAACAATTTTTGGTAGTGGCTGAAGGTTCTCGGAACCATAACCTGGCATAACCTCAATACTTTCTGTTGATTGAATTGGCATATATTCTGAATGTCTTTGAGATGAAACTACATAACCATCATCGTATAGACTTGGATATGTCCCCCCTTGCTCATTGATTTCATATCTTATAATTTCAGGTTGTTCATCATAAACTATCGGCTGTTCCTGAACATAATAGGGCTGAGAATATTTTGAATCAAAATCTGGCACTTCTTGTAGAACTTCTTGCTGGGCAACCAGTGGTTGACCTTGATAGGTTTCTTCAAGCACTACATCTTCATAAATTATAGGTATAGATTGTCGACCGTCAACTGTTGGCACTTGCTGGGCATAAGTTGGCTTTTCATATTGATGGTCATAGTCTGGCATATCCTGCATACCTTCTCTTGAATGAATAGGCATATATTCAGAAAATCTTTTAGTTGGAACTGCATAACCTGGATATGGTTCATCAGGCTCTACCACTTCATATATTACAGGTACAGATTTTCGAACATCAACTGTCTGCATTTGCTGGATATAAGATGGCTGATCATATTGTTGGTCATAGTCTGGCATATCCTGCATAACTTCTCTTGGATGAGTTGGCACTGCATAACTCTCTCCACTTTCAAATTTTGATGGACCTGGATATGAATCCTTTTCATATCTTGCAGGTTCATATTGTACGTCAGGTTCAGACAATTGTCTGTCATGAACCTGAGGATATTGTGGACCATATTCTGGCATACCCTGCATAGTTTCTACTCCAGTCACTGAAGAACTTGGATATGTAAACTCAGATACTTCCTTTTCATATTTTACAGTTTCACTAGTTGGTGGTAACTGCTGTTGATAAGGTGGTGCACCTTGTTCATCAATGTGAATAGGAACTGGGTGTGTAGTGCTGAGATCCTCCTTGTCAACCCTTGTTAGGTCAGGATGTCTATCATCTGGCAAAATCTGCATAAATATTGGCTCAGAATACGGTTGGTCTAAATCTAATGTAATTGATATACTCTCTGGGATACTTTTAGTGGGCGCAACATAACTCTCCTCCTTTTCAGGTAAGGTAGGTACTGTCAGTTTTGGATGATGCTCATGGACGTCAATATACTCAGGCTGTTGTGGTTGTGGAACAGATTGTAGACCAAGATCTTTAATATCCTGCTTTTCTTCTTTTGAAGAAATTAGTTCAGGTTCTGAAGTTATTTTGCTTTGTGTTGCATAACTTTCTTGTGTTTCAAGTAATGTAGGCACAGCATGTTCAGATTTTTTCATATCAACTTCCTTTGCTACAGGTGGTTTAACATCCACTTCAGTTGGCTTCTCAGCAGATGATGGGCCAAAGTCTATAATCTCCTTCTTTTCTTCTTTTGGTAAAATTGGGGCTCCTTCTGAACTTCTTTTAGATGGTCCTACAAATATTTCTTTTTCTAGCAATGTTGGCTCAATAGATTTTGTACTTGGCTCATGTATGTCAACAACTATTGAAGGGTGTTGTGTATCAGGCTCTTTCTTTTCAGGTTCAGATTGATCGGTATCAACTTTTAATAGTTTCTCAGTTAACACCACCTGAGATTTTGGGCTTATTTCCTTATGATCCATCTTTTCTTCTTTTGTTAAAATTGGCACATATTCTGGAATTTTTTTAGGCTGTGACATATCACTTTCTTGCTTTTCAAGCAATGTTAATTCTGGCTGCTGTACACCAGGTTCTTGTTTTTCAATCTTTACAGGTTCAGATGGCTTAACATCTACTTTTGGTGGTTTCTCAGCAGATGGTGGCCCAAAATCACTAATTTTCTTCTTTTCTTCTTTTAATAAAATTGGGGCGCCATCTGCTATACGTTTCAGTGGTCCTTCAAATATTTCCTGTTTTTCAAGTAAAGGTGGCACCATGTGTTTTTCACTAGGCTTAAGCACGTCAGTTTTCATCGCCACAGGTTGTGTAACATCTAATTTTTGTTTTGTCTCTGTAGATAATGGACTAAAATCCTCCTTTTCTTCTTTTGAAGGAATTACTGCATGTTCTGAAATTCCTTTAGGCAGTGTCACTTTAGAGTCTTGTTTTTCAGTTAAAGGTGGCGTCATTTGTTTTTCACTAGGTTTAGGCATGTCACTTTTCATTGGCACAGGTTGAATAACATCAACTTTTGGTGGTTTCTCTGCTTTCTGTTTCTCAGATGAGCCAAAATCCTCCTTTTCTTCTTGTGGAGGACCTGGTACATATTCAGACATTTTTTTAGGCAGTGTCACTTTACTGTCTTGTATTTTAGATAAAGGTAACACCATTTGTTTTTCACTAGGCTTAGGTATGTCACTTTTCATTGCCACTGGTTGGATAACATCTTGTATTGGTGGTTTCTCGGTAGATGGTTCACCTAAATCCTCCTTTCTTTCTTTTGAAGAAATTGGTACATGTTCTGAAATTCTTTTAGGCAGTGTTGCTTTACTTTCTTGTTTTTCAGGTGAAGGGGGAAGCATTTGTTCTTCTCTAGGTTTAAGCATGTCACTTTTCATTGGCGCAGGTAGTGTATCATCTACTTTCGGTGGTTCCTCAGTAGATGGTTCACCTAAAGAAATTGGTACATGTTCTGAAATTGTTTTGTGTTTTGTTTTACTATCTTGTTTTTCAGGTAAATGTGCCACCTTTTGTTTTTCACTAGGCTCAGGTATGTCAGTTTTCATTGCTACAGTTTGTGTAACTTCTACTTTGGGTGGTTTCTCAGTAAATGGTTCACCTAAATCCTCCTTTCTTTCTTTTGAAGGAAGTAGCCCATGTTCTGAAATTATTTTAGGGAGTTTTGCTTCACTTTCTTGTTTTTCAGGCAAGGGTAGTACAGTTTGTTTTTCACTGAGCTTAGTTATGTCACTTTTCATTGCCACAGGTAGGGTATCATCTACTTTCGGAGGTTCCTTAGTAGATGGTTCGCCTAAAGAAATTGGTACAAGTTCTGAAATTCTTTTAGGTAGTGTTGTTTTACTATCTTGTTTTTCAGGTAAAGTTGGCACCTTTTGCTTTTCACTAGGTTCGGGTATGTCAGTTTTAATTGCTACAGGTTGTGTAACATCTACTTTGGGTGGTTTCTTAGTAGATGGTTGGCCTAAATCCTCCTTTCTTTCCTTTGAAGGAAGTGGCACATGTTCTGATGTTCTTTTCGGAAGTGTTACCTTACTTTCTTCTTTTTCGGATAAGGTTGGCACTATTTGTTTTTCGCTAAGCTTAGGCATATCAGTTTTCATTGCCAAAGGTTGTGTATCGTCTACTTTTGGTGGTTTCTCAGAAGATGGTGGACCAAAATCTTTCTTAACTTCTTTTGAAGGAAGCGGAACATGTTCTGAAATTCTTTTAGGCTGTGTTATTTTACTTTCTTGTTTTTCAGATAAAGGTGGCACCATTTGTCTTTCGCTAGGTTTAGGTATGTCACTTTTCATTGCCATAGGTTGTGTATCGTCTACTTTTGGTGGTTTCTCAGAAGATGGTGGACCAAAATCTTTCTTAACTTCTTTTGAAGGAAGCGGAACATGTTCTGAAATTCTTTTAGGCTGTGTTATTTTACTTTCTTGTTTTTCAGTTGGTGGTGGCACTGCCTGTTTTACACTAGGCTTATGTATGTCAATTTCCATTGGCACAGTTGGTGTAACATCTATTTTTGGCAGCCTTTCAGTAGATGGAGGGCCAAAATCCTCCTTTCCTTCTTTTGATGATCCTCGTGCTTGTTCTGAAATCCTTTCAGGGAGAGTTGCTTTACTTTCTTGTTTTTCAAGTAAAGTTGGCTCATGATAATCAATCTTCTGGGCCGGAAGTGGTTTGACATCTTTTGGTGGTTTCTCCACAGATGGTTTCTGATATAATGGACCAAAATCTGTAATATCCTTTGTGCCTTCTTGTATTGAAATTGGCAAGGGTTCTGATATTTTTGTAGGCTGAGCTGTGATACTTTTTTCAGGTGATGTAGGCACTGCCTGTTTTGTTTTAGCCTCAATATCAATTTTTTTAGGCTCAGGTTGTGAAACATCAACTATTTGTAATTTCTTAGCAGATGTAGCCCCCAAATCTTCTTTATCTTTCTTTACTTCTTTAAGTGGAAGTGGTGACGGTTCTATAATTTGTTTCGTATGAGTTGCTTGAGTTTCTTGTTTTTCAAGTAGTGCAGGCAAAGTTTGTTTTTCTTTAGGCTCAGGCAAGACAATCTCCATTGCAGCAGGTGGTTTAATATCAACTTTGGTTGTTTTCTCAACTGATGTTGTATCAAAATCAGTTTTCTCCTTCTTTACTTCTTTTGAAGAGGATGGTATATGATCTGAAGTTGGTTTAGATAGGGTTGCTTTACTTTCATGTCTTTCAAGTAATGGTGGCCCTGGTTGTTGTGCATCAGGTTCTTTCTTTTTAGGTTCTGATTGTGGAATATCGACTATTGTGGGTTTCTCAGCAAATGATAGCTGAGATTTTATGCTAGTTTCTTTAAGATCCTTCTTTTCTTTCATTGAAGGAATTAGCATATGTTCGGAAATATGTTTAGGCTGTGACACATAACTTCCTTCTTTTTCAAGGAATACCNAGAACGTATGTCTGGTATTTCCTGTTGGCCTTCTTTTGGTAAACTTGGAGCATATTGTGAAATTCTTTGCTGTTGTACTGGCTTAGCTGTACTTGGTAGTGATACACGAGATACTTGCATCTCCGATCTTGCTGGTTCAGATTGTCGATCATCAGCTTTTGGCTGTGTCTGCGCATGAGTGGGCTGAGGATATTGTGAATGTATAATTGCCATTTCTTGTTGGGATTCTTTTGGTAAAACAAATGCATATTGTGAAATTCTTTTAGTGTGCACAATAGAACTAAATCGTTTTGCATGTGCGCTTTGTTGGCCTTCAACTTTTGCCTGTTGCAGATACTGTGAACTTTCTGTAATTGGCGGTTTACCTTCCTTTGTTAAAATTGGTGCATATTGTGAAATTCGTTGTGGTTGTACAGGATAACTATCTGGTTTTACCCCAGGTGCGAGCATTTCAATTCTTGGTGGTTGTGGAGGTAGTAGTTGGCCACCAGCCGTTGGCTCTTTTTGGACATAAGGTGGCTGAGGTTGTAGTGAGATTCTTTTAGGTTGTGCAACGTAACTATACCGTTTTGCAGGTTGAATTTGTTGACCATCAGCTTTTGGCTCTTGTCGAACATAAGTGGTCTGAGGATATTGTGAACCTGGCATTTCCTGTTTGCCTTCCTTTGGTAAAATTGGTACATATTGTGAAATTCTTTTAGGCTGTACAGCATAACTTTCTGTCCCTGGCAATTTTGCAGTTGTTTGTCCAATAAATCTTTCAGAATCAGGTTGTTCAACATCAGCTTTTGTCGGTTGCTGGGCATAAGATGGTTGTGGAAATGGCAACCTTTGATCTAATTCCTGTTTGCCTCCTTTCGGTAAACTTGGAGCATATTGTGAAATTCTTTGCTGTGGTACAGCATAACCATCTGGCTTACTTGGCGTAGCTGTACTTGGCAGTGATGCACCTGATGCTTCCATTGCCAATCTTGCAGGTTCAGGTTGTCGAACAACAGCTGTTGGCTGTGGCTGTACATAAGGATACTGAGGATATTGTGAACGTATATCTGGTATTTCCTGTTTGCTTCCTTTTGGTAAACTTGGAGCATATTGTGAAATTCTTTGCTGTGGTACAGCATAACCATCTGGCTTACTTGGTGTAGCTGTACTTGGCAGTGATGCACCAGATGCTTCCATTACCAATCTTGCAGGTTCAGGTTGTCGAACAACAGCTGTTGGCTGTGGCTGCACATAAGGATACTGAGGATATTGTGAACGTATATCTGGTATTTCCTGTTTGCTTCCTTTTGGTAAACTTAGAGCATATTGTGAAATTCTTTGCTGTGGTACAGCATAACCATCTGGCTTACTTGGTGTAGCTGTACTTGGCAGTGATGCTCCAGATGCTTCCATTTCCAATCTTGCAGGTTCAGGTTGTCGAACAACAGCTGTTGGCTGTGGCTGCACATGAGGATACTGAGGATATTGTGAACGTATATCTGGTATTTCCTGTTTGCCTCCTTTTGATAAACTTGGAGCATATTGTGAAATTCTTTGCTGTGGTACAGCATAACCATCTGGCTTACTTGGTATAGCTGTACTTGGCAGTGATGCACCAGATGCTTCCATTTCCAATCTTGCAGGTTCAGGTTGTCGAACAACAGCTGTTGGCTGTTGTTGAACATAAGGTGGCTGAGGATATTGAGAACGTATGTCTGTCGTTTCCTGTTGGCTACCTTTTGGCAAAACTGGAAGATATTGTGAAATTCTTCGAGGTTGTACAGCATAACTATACCGTCTTGTAGGTATTGCAGAACCTGGCTGTTGTGCTCCATGTGCTTGTACTTCAATTCTAGGAGGTGCGGGTGGTTGACGATCAGGTTTTGCCTGGGCCTGAACATAAGGTTGCTGAGGATATTGTGAAAGTTTATGAGCCATTTCCTGTTGGTCATCTTTTGGTAAAATTGGAACATATTGTGAAATTCTTTGTGGTTGTACAGCATAACTAGGCGGTGGTAGCTGGCCATCAATTTTTGGCTGTTGTTGGATATAAGGTGGCTGAGGGTGTTGTGACATTATTTTAGGTTGTGCTACTACATAACTATATCGTTTTGCAGGTAACGCAGAACCTGGCTGTTGTGCTTCATGTACTTGCTTTTCCAACCTCAAAGAATCAGAGGACTTAACATCAACTTTTGGTTGTTGCTGAACATAAATCGGTTGAGGATATTGTGGACCATAATCTGCTATACTTCTTCTTCCAACTTTTGGAGGAGTAAGTGCATATTGTGATATTCGTTTAGGTTGTACAGCATAGCTGTATCGTCTTCCATGCATTATTGGTGCAAGTTGTTGCTTTTCCATTTGTTGAATGTCCCCCTTTTGCTGTTGGTCATAAGTAGGTTGAACATATTTAGGAGCTTGATGTTCTAAAGGAGCCAAATCCATTTTATCTTTTGCTAATGCTTTCTTCTGCTCTGCAACTGTTATTGATTCTGTAATATTACTTTCAATGTTTCCACTTTGTGGTTGTATTTCTTCAGGTTCTTGCAGTTTTTTCCTTGAAGTTTCAGGTTGCTCTTCCAGTGGCATGTCATGACTATCAGGTGGATATTCTTGGGTATCAGGTGGCTGAGGTTCTTGAGAATCATCCTCCATTTCATCTTGTGAATCATATTCTATTCCATCAGTTTGCGTTTGTTTGTCACTTCTTTCTTGGGACAATTCCACAGAAGGTATATCTGCTTGACTTTGTATAGGAGAAACGGTTTTGGCCTGTATAACTGTCATCTTAAAATGATTTGTTGATGTAAACTCCAGTATTATCGTTCCTTCCTTTTCTAATTTGCTCCGGTCTTTCCTGGTAACTGTTTGAGTTGAAACATGAAATCTTAATGGCAGAGGTGCTTTTACATGTTGAGTTTCTGGCATTGGAATCCCATCTTGAAGTGTACTTGTTTCCAGTACATCTATTAGTTTATTCCTAGAATCTGAATCCTTAACTGGGCCAAACCCAGATGGTTTAGGCTCTGGTTCCATTTGGTGAGATACAGTTTCCTCCTGTATCAAGAAATTGTTCTCATATTTATCTTGAACTTTATCTGTTAAAGATTCGTCTGCTTTAGTTATAATAGACTGAAGTGGTTTAGTTTGTATGGGCTCAGTCATTATAATTTCACCTATCGGTGGACTTTTTTCTTGTGAACCTGACAGCTTTTTACCAGAGTCAGGTCTATCTTCCTTATCTAGTTCATTCATTTCTTCTCGGAACAAGTCTGACTTGAATGAGGCAACCTCAGCTGATTTAGACTTTCTGTGACTTTTTTCAGACACAACTTGCTCTTCAAGATGACTGACTATTTTACTTAAAGATTCAGCTAGTGCAGGTAACATCGGCAGCGATGATGTAGTGCGTTCACCTATTGTCATTGTTTTCAGGATTACATGACTTGAAGGTTCTGCTCTTTCAGTTAAATAAGTCTGAGTTGGTGGAGTAACTACAGGGCCAAATTTAATTTCTTTCATAACTATTTGACTTGAAGAAACTGCACTTAAAACAGAATGAACAGCCTTTACTTCTTCAGCGGAAGGGACCGCAAGTTCAGCTTTTGTATGAATAATTTCAGAACTCTCACGATTTTCTTTATCCTCATCTTTCATTGATATGGTTTCAAGCTTGTCTTTCTTTTCTGTTTGTTCTACTGTCTTCTCCTCTTCTTTTTCTTTTTGAGTTGAAAGACTACTCATTTCAGTCTGTGATGGGCTAATCCTCTGTACATCACCACCAGGTGTGGCTTGTATTCCTTCCTTCTCCATTTGCTCTGAAAGAACATGTTCTTGTTTTTCACTTGAGAATACGTACTGAGATATTTCAGTTTCTACATTGGTAGTCATGATTTCCCCTGTTGGTTTATCGACTCCTAACAGTACAATATTTTTGTCATCTTTTTCTAAACCTTCTAATGTTTGTGTAGAAGTGTCACTTCTTCTAATTAAGTTCGGTTCTGTTATTACAACTCCAGTACCTTCCTTTTCTAATTTTTTTAAATCTTCATTTTGATCAGTTTGTGTAGAAATTCCGAGTTTTTCAAGTAAAGGTGATGATTCTATTTTAGCACTTATGACTTTTAATTCTGTTTCACCTTTTTCAGCTTGTAATTTTGCTTCAACACTTCCAGCTTGCAACTCTGTTTCAACTTTTTCAGCATGCGGTTCTGTTTCACCTTTTCCAGCTTGCAATTCTGTTTCAGTTTTTTCAGCTTGCAACTCTGTTTCAACTTTTTCATCATGTGGTTCTATTTCACCTTTTCCAGCTTGTAATTGTGCTTCAACACTTCCAGCTTGCAACTCTGTTTCAACTTTTTCATCATGTGGTTCTATTTCACCTTTTCCAGCTTGTAATTTTGCTTCACCAGCTTGCAACTCTGTTTCAACTTTTTCATCATGTGGTTCTATTTCACCTTTTCCAGCTTGCAATTCTGTTTTTTCTTTGATTATGACCTCCTCCTTCAAATCTGACTCTAATATATCTGCCTCTTTGGTAATTGAAAGCGCCGAAGTTTTATGGTCCAATTTAGCAAGTGGTGAAGGAGAAATAGTAAGTTGTGGTGCAGAAGTAGTAAGTTGTGGAGGAGATAGACGATGTTGAGGTAGTTGAGATATTGATAGCCCTGACTTTTCTAGTTCTAGCTTTTCCAAGTAAGACTCAGTTAAAGACCCTTTACGTTTAAACTTGCCAAGTGGATATTCTTTTAGTTCCTTTTGGGGTTGATATACGTATGTTTGAATTGATTTTTCACACGTGTCAGGAGGTTTAAATCCCTGTTCTTTGTCAATACATGTACAGCATGTACATGACATCGATTCATTAATAACTTGAGCTTGCAAAGCTTCCAAATGTGAAGCAATGTAAGCAGCTAACCGATCTGCTATAAAAACTAAAAGCCTTTGAAGTTTTGTTTTTGGATCTTGCATTGTGCAATTTTCACCTGTTACATCACATAAATTTTTAAGAATTCTTTCAGCCAACAATTTGGCCTTCTTGCTTCTTTTTGAACACATCTGCATAACTACATAATCTGTGAATTTGGTTGCAATCATTTTTGAAAATTGTTTGACCCAAATGTGTCGTTTTGACAAATCTGTTTGAGGTTTATAGGAATCACGACGTTTAGTTATAGTCACCTTACAATACTTTTTGCAGCATTTTTTACAAGATTTATCTTCAGCAGTAATTTTATGTGAACATTGTTTTATGCTTCTCTCCCTCTGGCGGTTAACAAAAAGTTCAGCATCCCTGAAAAAAGCTGTAATTAATATAATGGAGGTTTAGCGTAATTCATTACTATGTTTCCATGTCATTTAATGGTACGTGTAACGCTTGTTGTGTTTAATACATTATTTTAATGTCTAATATAAAAATATTAGTAATGAAAAGAAAAATGTAATTTGTAATTTGATCCTTACTGATCATCTTCATCTCATTGGTCAGTTCAGTTTGGTGAAATGCTAAACGCTCTGACAGACCAACCCTGCCAAGATAAGCAGACCGAGATGATCAGTAAGGATCAAAGACCCTGCACGGAAGAAAAACATAGTTTCTATTATTTCGTTTTGAATTATTATTACTGACTAAGAAACCATATTTTGTTATTTTAGTTTATAACTACTTTAAGAAAAAGTAATTCAAAAAGCATTCAATTTTTTTATATATATTGTATTAACTTCTTAATCTCAATTTTATTCTCATCAACTGTTAAACATTTGTTGATTAATAAAGATTAATAAACAACTGATTACTTCCAAATATTTAAAATTATGTATCTATTTGAGAAAATTATGTTGGTCTAGTTAAAGATATTAATAGTTTAGTTTAAAAGATGGAGATGAAAAATAGAAGTATTAATATTTAATCTAACCTGTAACGGTATTCTCAATAGGAGATGTTCCTCTAAAAAGTAAATTTAAAGTTTTTAATTCCGTCTCTAGGGCTGTGATGTGTTATGCGTCACAAGTATGGGGCTACCATCAGTATGAAGTGGTAGAAAAACTTCTTTGTTTTTTTATTAAGAAGTTGTTTGGTGCTCCCTATTATACACCAAGTTATTTTCTTTATTTGGAATTAAGCTTAAGACCTTTGTTTGTGTATACGTTGAGGAGTCATTTAAATTATATACAGCGGGTTTTGGGTCTGAAACAAGATCGTTTGCCCTACCTTCTTGCTCAGGAGATAATAAAAAGATACATTTTTTGGTTTAAAGAATTGGAAGTGTTTTCTTCTGAACTCTAGTTCTCGTATAAATTTTACAGATGCGAAAGATTTCAAAATTTGGGCGGTACAATTATTGCAGGCAGTAGAAACTCATCATAAAGAAAAATGTTTAAGAAAAGTGCAATGTTCTACATACCATTTAATATACAAGAAATTGAACTTCGATCTTAGGAACAACAATTACTTGTATAAGGAATACAACTGGAATTTGATCAAGGTTGTTTTTCGCGCGAGAGGTCAATTATTATATTTAAATTTTAAGCCTTAGCTGGAGGAAAGAGACCAAGCATGCTATATATGTAAACTAAAAACGGTGGAAGATTTGTTTCATTTTTTGACAGTTTGTCCAACTTTGGAGAACGTTAGGTTAATTTGGTTGCACAGATGTCGTTTGACATTCCGTGAGTATATAGAACTGTTAAATGGGAAAGATTGGTTTAGTTTGTATAGATGTATTGTAGATGCGCTGAATTGCAGAGATAATTTTATGTTAAGTTTATAATTTGTATGTTAATTTAAGTTTTTTTTAAATGTAAATATGTAAGGGTCAACTGGCAGACGACTAGATCATGCCATTACAAGTATTATTTTGTAAAAAAAAATGTAATATTTTGTTTTCTTTTCTAAATATACTTTTATAAATAATAATATTTAATCTAATTATTTATAAACTTATTTATTAACTTAAATCTAATTATTAACTTACATTATTTATAAACCATTTTCTCACAACAAACATCTAAATGTATTTAATAAAATACCTTTAAACAAATAATCAAATAATTTTTATGTATATTAAGTAATTAAAACTATGTAATAATAATTAATATCTAGCAGAGGAGCAACTGCACACAAATTATGGCAGATGCTCAAACTGCCAGCATACAGACATTTGTAATTTTTTTCTCTACAATTAATTATAATTATGCTTTAATTAAAAAATGTCTTCTTTACAATATAGTGGAAGGAGAAACAAAGCATTTAATAATTAATAAATAATATTCTCTTAGGAGGACTTATTCTCTTTGTGAGTTTGTAGAATGACTGTAGTAACTTATGTTCAAATTTTAAACTTTACATTAAAAAAAACTTCTGAATAATCGAGTTTCATTGTCAAGTCAAAACAACAAGAGCTAAATGTGCTTTATTATTGCTTAGTAACAAAATGAGTAATGTTCATCAATTTAGGTGAAGCAAATATCAATTTTCAAGGGTAAAATTTTCATCAAGCCTTACGTTGTCCAAATTTTGGATTTAGAATTAAAATACTTCACACATTTATTTTAAGGTGATATTTTTATGCTAAATATTTTTGAATAAATAGTACTTTTGATTGCTAAAATTATGAGAGAGCGTTTTTATAATAAAAATATTAAGTTTAACTTTCCTAATGTTTTAAAGTACAAAGCTGATACATTTATATTAATTATTATATATAATTAAGAATTTGATGAAAATTTAATTAATGTATGAAAACATAGTTCTTTATAAATGTGTGCACGTATAGAATTACCAGAAAAATTTCCTTAAACATAATTAACAGAACAGTGTTTAATACAGTTAGTTTTAATAAATATATAAACAGCAATATATGTAGTGTAATAAACATTAATAGCACATATATTTATTAATTAAAAAATCTTGTAAAGAAGACATTCTCTCAAAAACAATTTTTTAATAAATTCTGAAGTATTTTTAATTCTAAAAATACAACAATTGATTTGTTGTAGGCTTGGTAAACTTACAAAACCAAATATATTATTATTAAAATGCAAATGAAAATTACTCACTCTGTTTTTATGATGTCTCAACCTCTATCTTGATCCTAATCGAATAACTTTCTTCAACAAATCACATCACTTTCAAGATGATCAGACTTTTCAGATGAACAAATGACAACAAGATGAACAAAGAGACAAGAATGGTTGACATTTTTAGTATATCATTCTATTCCTTCTTGAAAAAAAAAGCAAATTGTTTCAAGGATGTATCATGCGTTAGAGTAAACGAGCTTTTAAATTGAAGATTAACAAAATTAAAATGATGGAAGCATGTGCATCATGTATGTTGTACTGTTTCCGTGTTTTAAATGAATTTAACAAAGTGGAGTAATGTGTTATAACCCTTTGATCATGATAACTGATGGTAGTTGGACATTAAGTTCTCCTGTTCTCCGGAAGACGTTTTACACACACAAAAAAATCATTAAGACTTAACAAAGTTGTTAATCATTCTTATACCGGTTTTAACTTCTTAAGCACAACTGTGATATGTACAGTATGTAATTAATTGTTATAAATATATTAAGATTATTTCTAAGAAAAGTGACTTACGCTGGTGACATGCCAAATTCTGTCATGAGCATTTCTTTGAGACGATCGATCATTTCTGGAGTCAGCAAAGCCCATATTTCTGCCAGAAAATTATGAATGTACCTGTCAAAATAATATAGATCAATCCAAATTGCAAAAATGAAGCATGTCAATAAGGAACTATTTATTTTTTAAGATTTTTTTAACACTTTTTTCCAAACCACATATTTATTAAAATATACATTAAGACATCTTTAAACAAATGTTTAATGCGTAATAAAGCTGAAAAGCCCTAAGATGGCTCATGACCTTTCAATTTATTTATTTTATTTGTTTTGTTTTTTATCATTTGAAATGGTTCATATTGATTATATTTAATAAATGTTGCAAAATGACTACCAATTAGACTGGCTCCCCTACAAACAATATATATTCTTTCTTTAGAAAAAATATATATAATTAAAATTATCTTAAATTGAACTTTTTTCTCCAGAAATTGTGAGATGCGGTCTGGTGTGATGTAGGTTTCAGAAAAACATTTTCTTTATCGTGTTTCGATCTTTATTGAGATCATCTTCAGGGCTCAAAGTGTTTGTCTTCTGTGTAATTGTGCCATTCTTGCGTGTCGTGTTGAGAGTGCCCTCTCAATAAAGATCGAAATGTTGGCACGATAAAGAAAATGTTTTTCTGAAACCTACATCACACCAGACCACATCTCATGATTTCTGAATAATTATCGTTTAACGGTCACTAATCACCACACTTTTTTTTTTCAATAAGTTTTTTTTTTCTATAATTTATTTTTATCTTATTCTATTCAATGGATGAAGACAAGGCAAGATAAAATAAACAATTTTCATAAAATTTCCTTTATATGTATTGATTTTGGGGAGTTGCCTGCATCCCCTCTTTACCTGTCTTAAACTTAGTATTTATGAAGAAAAATAGATAAATTTAGGCCAATTTTTTTAAATTATAAAAATTGTTTTGGTTGTCTTTGTCTATTCAATATACTAAATAAAAATTTTACAAAAATAGTAAATCTTTTAATTTAGTTTTTCAATTAAAAGATTTTTCAAATTTTTGAAACTTTTTTGGCATTGGCCTATTGTCTTTGGCCATGTTAATATTTATTAAATTAATTATTTATAGTGGTTATAATTCCAACTAGATTGTTTAATAAAATCAACCAAATCCTGGTAAACCTCAAAATTCTGTGCCCTTCAAAAATTTATAATTACATGGAATTTATTTATCTCTATATATCTATCTCTTTTATTTATCTCTATACTCTCCATGATGCTCTTTTAACGCGAATTGAGGTCGTAAAGGATCTTGGTGTACTTTTTGATCAAAAGCTCAAGTTTAAAGAATATATTTCTTCAATAAAAAATATCATCATCCGGAACACCTATAAATTTAAAAATCTTCTATGTTTTGTCCATCTTTATAAAGCTTTTGTACAACCCATACTAGAATATGCTACACCTGTTTGGAACCCATTCTATCTAAATTATCAAAAAATTCTTCAATCTGTGCAAAACAAATTTTTAAAAAAACTTTCCTACAAACTCAATCTTCCTCCGAATTCTGCCTACCCTGGAATCCGCTCTGAATTTAAACTTTTCGAACTGGCACTAAGAAGGGATTACTTTGATATTGTTTTTGTATTTAAATTATTAAACAATCTCATTGATAGTCCTTACTCTCCTCTCTCAACTACAGCTACATGTCCCTTCGTACTCTCTTAAAACCTATAAATTATTTTATATTGAATTCCAAAGCTCTAACTACATGCTCTCTTCTCTACACAGAATGATGATCAAGAGTAACAACATCTGCAATAGCATTGACTTCTTCAATAGTTCTGTGCAATCTATGAAAAACCTTATCCTACAACCTTAGTTGAATGCTTTTATATTTTATACTATACAAAATTATTACAATTTATTTCATTTACTGGTTCAACTAATTCTCACACTCTAGTCTTATTATATATTTACAAAGAGCATTATTTTCATTAAATATGTACCTAATTATTGTAGTTTCAATTGTCTTTCAGCTTTATTTTGTTTTCCTGCCTTATTTGGTTAATAATTATGTCTTTCATTTTTGTTGTTCAGTTTTTACTCTTTAATTGTATTTTTATATTTATCATTTATATTTATGATTTATATTATTTCCATGTATATACGTCCTTATTCTTTTTATATATATTATTTGTATTTTTACATATATTATTTATATTTTTTGTTATTGTAAAATGTCTTTGTTGTAGTGGATTTCGATCCGTAAATAAATAAATAAATTTAAAAAAAAAAGAATAGTAATTTTACATTGATCTAGCATAGAGAGTCCTTTCTTTCTCGAATTGTCTGTAGTACCATATGTTTTTTGCGTTTTCTACTTAGTTGCATATGGTGCACAGGATCAATATCTTCCTGACCATCATTTAAATATCAAATATTAACGTAAGGTCTCTGCTTGGAGGGAGAGGAGGTGATTATACAGGTGGGATTTAAAGGAGGAAAAGGAGGCAGCGTGACGAATAGAAAGGGGAAAGGGAGTTCCAGAGTTTAGGGGCTCGGATCAGACAGTATCTTTCGAAGGTATGGGTTGTATGTTGCGGAAGGATAAGGTCGATTGGGGATGAGCGGGTGTTACGAGTGTGATGTGAGGAGTTGAATTGGAGGGATTGGGCGATGTACGGAGGATGACAGTGTGGATGGACTGGAAAAGAGCAACCTAGGAAATGGAAGGAGGGGAAGTTGTACAACCCTGACACCCAGGACCTCCGTGAGGTGCCGAACACGAATCTTACACAACAATTCATAATACGCTTCAATCGCACGTTATAAGTTCAGTAATAAGAAAATATTTGTTGGTGTGTCTCAGTACAAGCTTGTGTAAATTTTACCTTCTAAATGCCTGTCCAGATGAAAAGAATAATTTGTACCATCCAATTAACAATTTTTTGTTGTCTTGTTATTGTTTATCTTTCTTTTAATTTTTTTACTCAATGTTTTAACTTACGCTTTCTCAGGTCTTCTAATGCGACGGCCACATATTACCCTGGGTCCATACTTGCCGAAACTGGCTGCACTTCTGGCTCCTGCATTTTGTTCATCTCCCTCGGAATCTCTTTCTTGGCTATCTTCTTTTTTTATATCCCATCGATAACTATTTATGAAAATCATACAAAATGACAAACCCTCTTCCAAAAAAAAATATATATATACATTTTTTGCAGAAATAATTACCCTTTTGGAGTGGACAATAGGTTCAAATGTTGCGATCTTGAGAGGATTCCTCTATCAATTGTGTCGCCTTTGAAATGGATGTGAGGACATTCTACATAGATTGGAGGTTCTAAGGCATTAGGGGCCTTTCTGCGATTTTTTGGGTTCTTTGGCATTTTGGAAAATCAATTCCACATTCTTCTACAAATTGAATAATGATTACTCTCAATTGATGTAAATATTATGTTAATCAAACTTAATTGGCTTACCTTAAACCCAAGTTTTTTGACCGAAATGTGTTTTTTAAGTGTGTGTGTATGAGAAATGTTGTTGTATGAGTTTATAAGTTGTTTTCCATTGTAGAAAAAAGTGTTTTCTGTATTCGCGCCCCCAATGTGCAGATATGTGTGCTATTTTGTAATTGCTCAAAAACTCATGTTATTTTGTCTGACACCTGAAAACTTGCTACTGTTAAACTTTTATATCAGCATGTTTTTATTTACATATGGTAAAATTGTTTTAATATTTTTTTTTAATTAATCAAAAAATAAATGTGTTGTGTGGGAAAAATGAAATTGTATTTTATTTATATTTTGAAAGTATACGATAAAAAAATAAACAAGTACATATAATACAAATACTTTCATTTTTAAATAATTTCTAAACAGAATAACACAATTAGTCACTCAGAAATAGTACAAATCAACATGTCTTTTTCTTTTCTTTTTTTTAAAATACATTTTGCATTTTAAAGTAAATTGACAAAATTCAATGCCCTCTTAATTTTTCACACTAGTTTCATTATGTAAATACATACAAATTATATTATATAAAACAATTTGTATAATTTCTCAAGTAAGGTTGTAATATATTATGTGACATTAGAAAATAAAATTGGTTTTATATAAAAAGTAAAACTTTTTACAAAAATGTAATATTTCTTTTTATATTAAAATTTCATAATAGGATAAAACATTAATTCAAGAAAGAAAAACTTTTTGTTTCATCAATAATAAATGTACATAGAAAATAGCACAGAGAAACTTCATAAAATTAAGTATCTTCACTTCAAGTTTTGCAGCTGACTAAAAAGTCAAGTTTGATAAAACTAATATACATCCCATTTTATCTATTTATTTTTTATTATTTTATTGTAAAAACATTTTAAAATTAACATAACATTTAAAAAATTAAACTTAAAAGTAAATCCATAAAAAAATCTACACAATATTGCAGCGTTAATACCTATAATAACACATAATTATGATGTAAATATAATAGTTTTTCTTCAAAATTTGCACTTTTAAAATGGTTAATCTGTGAAATTTTGAATTTCAATTGTGGAAGGTTCCCACCAAGAAGTGGGTATCTACTATTTAATTAATAAAATTGAGGTATTTCATCATTCCGAAAGAGCTGTATCATTTTGTGCCAATGTCTTTCATCAATTCATCATTGCAAATAGCATATTGGTTAATTTCACGGTCATAAACATTTCTTTCTTTGATAATAGATCAGAAATCAGTAAAAAGCTCATGCTAGGCCATTTGCTCTTGCCTGACAATGACTAGCAAGTTAATATAATAAAGTACACCGCTTGTTGAAGCCCCTTTTAAGCACCGGGCATTCTTGCAGCATCATTCTTGTTTTTCCCCTAATCTTCTTCATTGCTGACTAAATTGGGAACCTTCTTCTTATACACTTTGGCAGCATTGCCGTTCAATTTTCCACCTTTGTCTTTCTTGTTGGGTGAGTACTCTTCATCACTCTCCTTGTCCTCAGAGCATCATCTGCGTTCCCCTTCTTCTTTTTGGACTCTGCCCTTTTTGGTTTCTTTTTCATCTCATGTTCTTCGTCCTTCTTGTCCTCTTCCATGATATGTGCTTGATTGTTCAACACTATTCATTGTATGAATTTTCAGTTTATTAAAAATACTTGGTATTTTACATTTAATTCTTATTATCAATATTGGCAATTTGACAATGACATTACAAAATAATGTTTTTTGTTTGGCCATGTTGGATTACAGTTATGTTAATTATTGGTTGTTCTTCTCACCTGGCCAACTCCTTAACAATAATCAACAAACTTGAAGAATGTTTGAAATTAATTTCTTTAATTAAAATTTGGTAAGTAAAAAAAAATTCACAATGTGAAATAATGATATAATGTAATAATAAATAATAAAGATATTAAATTATATTTATTAAGGTGCTACTAACACTAATAAAATGCAACTGAAAAAAAAAATTCTTGTCATACAGGAGAGCTTAACGTTCAACTACCCACTGGATCTCACGGATGAGGGGTTGAAACCACTTTACAATAAGTTGCTGAGATTCAAACCCAGATCTGCTAGCGAAACAAATACGAGGTCAAAGAGAGTCAAATGCCCTAACCATTTGCCCATCTTGGTCCTCAAATAAAATCAACTGAATGTTTCATTTAGCATTTTAATTAACTCACAAATCAAAAAATATTTTATTAATTCAAGTAGAAAGTATTCAAACATTAATTTAAAAAGCCTCTATTTAAAAGCTTTAAAATTAATCAAGGCCAAAATTAAAACTGAATGGAGGAAAAACAGGAGAGCAGAAACAAATTAAAATGGACCTTTTCGACACACTTTTACGCTAAACAAACTTCTTTTTTTTTAATTCAAAAATATAAATCAAAATAAAAAAGCACTCCACCTATTACAAATGAAACCAAAAAAGGAAGCAAGTTGTTCAAGATTCCAAAATGCATGTTTGTCCTTTTTCAAGTCTGATCAAGAAGAAAGCCTCAAGTCCTCTAATAGTTAGGAGGGTGCCTTGAGCCGATTAAGCCTGAGGGCTGCTTCAAGTACACAACAAAGTTTCCTAATTTTTTAATAGTCTTAAAAATTTACAATTGGGACCTTCATCAGGACTCTGTGGTGTGACACTATTTATTTAGTATTGTTATACAGTCTACATTTTTTTTTTTTTATATATTTCATATTTTTATTGTCATAAGCTTGAGACAAATTGCTTTGTGTAAATGTGTAAATTCCTTGTTTGTACATCCGTTCATTTACTGACAAATATTTTTAGACGAGTTTTTTTTTTCAAAACTCAGGATTTGTAGCATTGATGTTTCTCAATTGCAGTACATTTCTTTCATTTATTTATTTTTTTAATTCTAATATATGAAAATAATTTTTATATGCATACTGTTTTTTTATCATAATTTAATATTTTTGGACGATGCCTTGATTTCCTCCTGTTGTCTGTTGGGTGATGATCCTGATCTTAATCTGACTATCCATATGTACTTTTGGAAAAGTTTTATGTAATGAAAGTGCTGATGATTATTTGATGATCTCATTCAAATTTTTCAATAATAATGGGCCTTTTTAACATGGGATAGATTCGATAGGTTTTTAAAAATAATTTTCTGATTAATAAATATCAGCAGCCAATATGTAGCAAAGGTCTACAAGATCTGGGATTTTGGTGTGTTATGTAATCTGTCAGCATTTTTAAATTTAATCTTAATGTTAACTCGGGTTGGCTTCCAAAACTTTTGTGCTAACAATTTTTGGTACACGTTCAAAAAAAATTTACATAAAATGTTTTAAATTTGTTTACTTTTTTTTATCATAAATTGTCCCTTAATGTTACTTAACTTTTTTTATTGAAGTAATAAGTTAAGGAAAAGCACAAGGAAACTGTAAAAACAAAATTTACCAATACTTTTGGTAAATATGTAAGTACTACCAAATCTACATCTATTGGTTATCGTGTTACAAATTACCATTCAATTTAATATATGTATTTGAAATTTTCCCATAAATCTTTGGCAAATTGAAAACAGTGGTGGGCTGGACTTGCCACCTTGACAGTTCATAACCCATATGAAAAAGAGACAACAATCCTATTGTTGGGCTCAGTGTATGAGAATTTATTCCCGCCTCAAACAAATCTAACCTCAATTCCATTACTTTTGCTTACTTACAAGACATCATTTCAAATTATTATTACTTTTTTGTTTTTTATTTAAGTCAAATGAAGGCATTCGACCACTTGAGTCATTTTCTGCCTTGATGAATGGTAAAAGCAGAACCGGCAGAAATTAAGAAGCCACATTTCAAAAGACGTCGGACATTTTTTCCTTATTTCTGTCTTACTTACCAGACCTTCCAAGAGATGAGCACTGTTACACAAGTTATTTGTAAAGTAATGAACAGCTTTTGAAATCTTTAATAACTTTATAATGTTTTGGCAATAGCACATCAAATTGCAAATATGAAAAATAAAATTTGATGCAGAAATAACAGGCTTATTCATTATCATTAATGATTATTTATTAGAACTATGGTCCTTGAGTAGCTGGTGAATTTCTATACAAATAATGAAATCATATATTATTTTAAAAAATAAAATACAAACTGTAATAGAAAATTTTTATTCAACATATACATAATAACAAAGGTTTAAGATAACAGCAAGAAAATGTATTAATAAATGTATAAAAATATTATAAACTTTGTTACCCTACACAAAATAATTGTGCTATGAAAAATTACACTTTCAAAAACACATTTAAATACTAATACATTTATACGTCAAAACGTAACAAACGATATTTGATACACATTTAAACAAGCAGTTTCCCTTGATTTGTAGAAAAATTTGCCTTTTTGCTACAGCCAAATATTTGACAAATATGTAGGAAGAGAAATTTATTCAAGTTAAAAGTGTTATTTCATAATATATTAAATGCATTATTTCCAGTTGGGAATTTCGCACCTTATATTAATGATACTATAGCTAACGAAAATGTTTTTACAAATAACACCCAATTAATAATTAGGACAATGTACAAATTAAAATAAGTAACAATAGGGCAGTTTATAATTACAATGTGCAAAATGTTTTATTATTATGACATATATTGTTTGTTTTTTTGTTTTTTTTTAATTAGCTAATGTTTAAATTTATAATTATCACTTTGTAAAAATAGGAAATACTGTTGTAGATAAAGCATAAATTTATTTTAATTAACAACTACAATATTTTACAATTGTATGCTTTATAAAAAAATGAACTATCATTAAATTTACCTATTTATTATTAGGCTGGAATTTAACGAGCGTCATCTATAAATGTTTAGCTAGGTAGTTTCAAATAACTATATTGTCACAACAGATATTAAGTTGATAATCTTGTTAAATTTGATAACAATTCAATCATTCCAGTTCATTGTTTATGTTTATTGATATTAAGTAATTTGTAATAATTATCAAAAATGTTTCATTATTGCTATTAGCATTTTTGTGCAAGAATATAAGAGCAAATATGGTTCCATTCTCAAAACAACTTTTCATTTAAATAAATTTATATGTTTAAATATAATTTTTCCAATGAAAAACAGAATCGATAAAATGGCCTATGCTCAATTCATTTTAAAATTTACAATAAATTAATTTATTAACATTATAAAAATATTTAAGCCTGTAATGAATACAAGTTACACGATATAGGGCGATTTTGTTTCGAGGGTTTAATGAACTGTATTCAGACGAGGTAACAAGCCGGAACTAAATACAACAAAAGACTCGAAGTTAAAAAAATTGTAGATAAATTCTGGCTTTTAAGGTTGCTGTCATTACTTGGCCCCCTTGTAATATTGAAAATTACGTGATTACGCAATGCCGCATACTCGTTTTCTGACAAATCATCAAGGCACTCAAACTCACAGCAATGTACGCCGATAAGAAAACTGCTACATTTTTTCTGAAATAAAATTGAATATATTACAATAAATATGCATTTGTATGTTGAAAAAGTATTTGATTTATTAAATTTAGTTGTTTTTATTACTATTTGATGCAATTAATTAAATAATAAACAATAAATATTTTAAAAACAAATCTATTTTTAACTTTTTTTCCTTTCATAATTACTGAAAATATTTAATCATTTACTAAATACTGAAACAGTATGTTATTTTAAATTTTAACATTAAAATTCTGGTCTTTAGGAAAAATTTGCAAACGTGATGTAAAAATTGCTTATGAACACATTCCATTACAGTGTATGCTTTGTAATTGTTATGTTGAAACAAAAAAAAAGCAGGAAATTGCTATGTGCATTTTCATAGAAACAGCACAAGTGAAACAAGAAAAATTGACTAATAGACATTTTACAATGTACTGTGCTCAAAGTTGAAAATCCCATAATCAAATTAAAAAATATAAAAAAATCCGTTTTTACCACGCTTTTCCACTTGGATAAACAATATGTAATACTACTAAAATAAAAATTATTTGCATTTAAATTACATGTCATTAAATGGTTTACTATAGATTATATTTAAAACATTCAAAAACTAACTAAATTCTCATTTCTCATCTATATTAATACAAAAAGGAAAATTAATGGAACTATATAAATTACAAACTATGTTATAATGATCAACCAACAATTTAAAAAAAAAATATTCTTTCATAATAAAAATTTGTATTGCCATACTACAATAGCAAAATATTTTTATAAGCTTATTATTAACCGACCTTGTCGTACAATTAAACCAAAATCAATATTGAACTTATTGCTCACAGTTTAAAAAAAAATTCTTGATGGTCTAATAATATTAAAAAGTTGACGCTTCATTATGGTGAAATGTGTAGCATTCAACATAATACAGATTGTGCAAATTTGTACATTTTTCATGAGAGGGAGGGGGCTCCAATATCCATAAAAATCTGAACAGTGATTTAGAATAGGTGAATATAAAAACAAATAGTGGTTAGAAGTAGAAAAATTACATATACCATCGGTATAACAGTTTGATAAGATAAACAAACTGTTTTTATTTATTATTGAAATTAAATATATAAAATAGTAAATTACCCACAGCTTTCGATCAAGGAAAACCCTAATAATTGCCTACTTTCGATTACTCTAAAACTACAGACATTTTTCAAGATTTTTTTATTTTTATTTTTTATACTTTAGAAACAAACCCCTTTCTACCTTTTATATGATACAAAACTAGTGTGAGGTGTTTTTGGAATGTGAAATGGAAAAAAATTGTGAGCATAAAATATTTTTCAAGCAGCTCTCACAAACGGTCATAGCGTTTGCAGTACGTGTGAGATAAGCTTATTCAAATATTTGTTTGATGTGATTTTCCAATTATGAAAAACAAGCTATGTACATAAATATAATTTTTATACTGAGTGTATAAATTAAAATGCATATAATTTATGAAACTGTATTTCTATTTTCAACAATCAACCTTTCTAAAGCAGCAGATTACAGCTCTATCAGCTTGTACAGTCAATATATCTAAGCAATTAGATATATAATTAATATAAAATGTATATGTGTGAAGCGGAATAGCTTAAGAAAGAAGTGGATGCAACTCTGAACTACGATTATTAAAATTAGTGTGTGCCTAAGAGAAGGTTCTCAGCTACTACAAAATGCAATCCTTTCAAGGCAATTTCCATAAACGTCTCGCTCACCAAATCAGATAAAGAAAAAAATGGCTAAAAACTAGACTTTAAAAAAAAAAATAAACTGATTGTTGGCTCACATAAGGAGGGCCATCACAAAAGATTGTCTTGCACCACATTGGTGCACTGTAGTAACAAACACATTGTGAACAAACATTTGGCCCAGGCACATAGATCACTCCATGAGGCACCGTTTTCCCTTGAAAGTCTATGCAATTGTCTTGGTCCGCATCTATATTAGGAGAGAGTCTTAAGATAACATTGACCTTTGTTTCTACCAAATAACTTTTTTTAATCATTTGTTTTTTGTTTTTGTTTTTTTAAATAAAATTATGTATTTTATAATCAATTCTAGACCACGGAGTCATTTATGCTCCATACAAATGACCCTATATTCAACCCTTGTAAGCCTGCCTGAGTAACTATAAGTGAAGCATTAGAAAAAAAAGCTCCTAAAGTATTTTATACTTACTTGAAGGTATGATCAATATGAGGAAAGTGCAATAGTAAAGCAAAAAATGCCACATTGAAAACATGTTGAGCATTTTAAAAAAGGTCTGTTTGTTGTTATTCACTGTCCAATGGCTTTATTTTAAGTCTAAACAATTTCTATTATAAATTCTTTAGGTCAGAACAATATTTTTGAAGACACTAAGTTGTGACGTTGGGATTAAAATATTGCGCCTGATGTCACTTCCTTTTTCCGGGGACCTTCGCCGACTTCAAATTGTCTCATGGAAATAGGGAAATGTTAGTAAATGACAGAAAATGAGAAAAACGGTGCAATACGGCAAATAAAAGAGCGCCGTGGTGTTCAAAAAGCGATCAATGATGTGGTAAATATCGTGACTAGATTTCAGCACAAGAGATTCTCACCCCCTGACCGCTCCCACCCCCTGTTTCAACCCCATTTTCGACGAATAGCGTTCAACCTCGCTCCTTTAATTTCGTGTGTCACCTTTGCCGGTACCGCAACGAGGAAAATTAATCAACCCTTAACAAATCTGTTACAAAATGCTGATAATTAAAATTTTCATCAAAAATCAAACTTTTTCTTATTACAATAAAGATTGTCTTGCTCGAAAATCAATAAGAATATTTGTAATTTGTTCTCCCTGGATTCATTAAATAACCGATATATTCTTGTTAGTTGAATAAAACAAAATAGAAAATACAAACCAAAAATAAACAAACGTTAATCCTCATTTTTAAAAACGAATTTACTTAAGAATAGTAAACATGAACATTACTCATTTTGTAAACAAACACCTTTTATCTATTTTAATTCAATTGTATTCTCTTTAACCATGGAAAGGCATTAACTTGAGCCAGAAGTTATTGTGAGATTGAGACATCAAGGTCACCGGCAGTTGGCATTTCTCAGAGTGTGGTCTCACAGACCTTAGCCTGATTCCGAGAGACTGGAAATGCCAATAGGAGGCCTGGTAGTAGATCTCAGCTCATTACGACGCTAAGGGAGAAAGAAATATTGTCATTGTTGCAAGACGGGATCCTCCCCATGGTGACTGCCAAATCCTACAAGATGTTTTGGCAAGGCCTTTACTGTAACAATTCGTAATCCCTTTGAGACTATCTGCAGCAACAGCCTGCCACCGGCAATTTAGGAGAATGTGCTGCAGCGAGCGCCTAGAAGAAAACACCAATTGGAACGATGTTATATTCATTGATGAGTTGCTCTTCTGTCTGTTTTGTTGAAAAGTCTACCTAGAACAGGGGATGCGTACAATGCCCCAGTTCGTGCATACTTCAGTGCACGTTGGAGGAGGCAGTGTAACGGTCTAGGCTGGGATTTACACTGGAGGACGAACTGGTCTCCATATTGTTGAAGTCAAGCCTCACCGCAGTCCGTTATGTCCAAGAAATTATCAAAGAATACATCCCTCAATCAAGGGATCTCATTGGCAGAGGTTTTCAATTTACGCAGCCAGTTGACCTCTAGCATTAATAATTTATAATAAATTGTAACTATTTATAATAAAAATAAAATAAAAATGCTAGGGAAAGTAAATACTACAAAATTGGCAATATCCCTATTCATTTTTGAGCAGTTTACATAATCATCTTTTGATGCAAATAAGTCAGAATATCGTTTATTTTCTATGAAATAAAAATATTCATTAAAACACATTCATGTGTATATGCATTTTTGTGTTATATTCAATCATGTACAATACATTATTTATTTCAATTAATTATTCTTTTTATGTAAGGTCCTGGTTGAGATGAAAATGAGTCATGAGCGGGATTCGAACCCACGATCTTCGGCTCAATACGCCCCTGCTCTAACCACTTGAGCTACCGTGACTTCCAGCTTGATGAGGACCACTTTCAATCTAACTTTACAACTTCAATAGCAAATTTTCTACTGGGTTAATTTTAAGGATTTAGGGCCCATAACATACAATTTCTCAAAAAAACTATAAAATATACAGAGAGATGGTTAATGCGAAATACTTCAACCAATTAAATTGGATGTTTATGCAAGTTGTTGAATTATAATTTGCTAGGCTTCTTATCTCATTACTCTAATGATCAGGATCTGACAACTTTTACAACACAATTTATCAAACAAAAAAAATATACAGAATATAATAATAATATATAGGCTTCTTATCTCATTTCTCTAATGATCTCAACCCCAACATCTTGATTATTCTTTACATATTGCTAGTAACTTCAATGCTTGAATACTGTTCTCCTGTTTTGAATCCCTACACTGTTCTAAATTTATTCAAAAGCTTTTCAATCTGTTCAATTTAATTTCTCAGAATCCTTAAAGAAATAGAAGCAATTATTACTGACTATAGGCAACGTGTTCATAATGGGTACTCTACCAGACCCCTTCTGCCGCTTCTGTGAAACAAAGGAAGAAACGGCTCGACACTACCTTGCAGAATGCGATAGGTATGCTAGGGAAAGATTTGAAAATTTCGAAGGAGAGGACATTGCCAAAACACTCCCCAAGATAAAATGGTCCAAAATCTTGGGGTTTGTGACTAGGTCCAAAAGGTTTATGCAGGACTCGTGAGCCGACCAGGTCCCGGACCTTTTAGGGATGGGGTACGGGCCTACCTAGGCTTTTAACCCCTCGGGTCCTGGTCGCCCGCCCTGCGTAATATATAGGCAACATGAAACTTTAGTTTAATTCGTCTACAGTTATATAGATTTTGCTTTGATTTAGTTTTCAAATAATGAACTATTATATTGAGAATCTTTCTTTACTTAGCCTAATTAATTATTTTTATTTTATTTAGTATGCAGTCACATCCTTAGTACTTCAAATTAGTACATACATCATCTTGCATGTGACTAAATGTTTGTAGAATGAATTAAATTATCAATTCTTCAATCTGTACAAAACAAATTAAAAAAAAAACTTTCTTACAATCTCAATCTTCCTCTGAACTCTGCCTACACTGGAATCAGCACTGAATTTAAACTTTTCGAACTGGCACTAAGAAGGAATTACTTTGATATTGTTTTGTATTTAAATTATTAAACAATCTCATTGATAGTCTTTCTCTCCTCTCTCAACTACAGCTACATGTCCCTTCGTACTCTCTTAAAACCTTTAAATTATTTTATATTGAATTCCAAAGCTCTAACTACATGCTCTCTTCTCCTCCACACCGAATGATGATCAAGAGTAACAACATCTGCAATAGGATTGACTTCTTCAGTAGTTCTGTGCAATCTGTGAAAAACCATATCCTACAACTCTAGTTGAATTTTCTTACCAATTTATATTTTTTAAATGCTTTTGAATTTGATACTGTTAAAAGTTTATTACAATTTATTTCATTTACTGGTTCATCTAAATTTGACTCTAGTCTTATTATATATCTACAAAGAGCATTATTTTCATTAACTGTGTACTTAAATATTGTAATTTCAAATATCTTTCAGCTTTATTTTGTTTCCTTTACCTTAATTTTACTTAATAATTATCTTTTATTTTTGTTGTTGTTCAGTTTTTACTCTTTAATTGTATTTTTATATTTATCATTTACCATTTATAATATTACCATGTACATATGTCCTTTATATTTTTTTTTTTTTTTTTTTTGTAAAATGTCTTTATAGTGGATTGCAATTTGTAAATAAATAAATGCAATGTGTGAAGAAATGGTTTGAAGTACAAAGAATATCTTATAATCATGATTTTTTATTACATCTGTGCTTTAAATATTATAAATTGATTTGTAATTTCACTGAAGTTTATTTAGAAAGTTGTTAGAACAATTTATTTCTTTTCGTAATTTTAAGCATTCGTTTTGTCATCATTGAAGTACATTTGTACAATTTTTGCCCAGTTTTGCAGTTACACCAAAGCAGCTATAATTCTAGTTGTAATTCAAAAGAGACGACCTCTATTTGTACAATGTTATAATCGATAAAACTGAAGAAATCGAGTAATATTGGCCCTCATGTCTCGATTCTGCTAATTATACTGATAAAGTACTGCAAAGTGCAGACTGCAGTCAGAGTGCAAACAAACAGTAACAGCCAACAGGGTTTGACTACAGAGTTTGACGACAGTTACGCGATTTGCGATTTTGTATGTCGTCCTTGTAATCAGAAAAAAAAATTACGATTCGTTCTCCCATCGGGACTTATTTAGAAAGAGTGAAACTTGAAAAATTTGACCCAACAGGCAAGTGAAATTATTTTATTTTTATACTACTCATTAGTAATTTTGTTAAGTGACTTTCTATTTACTTAAAAGTCAGAACGATTTATTTCTTTTCATATGAAAATATATAACGGCTTGACACTAGATTTTGATAGCTAAAAGAAAATTAATGAAAGAAAATATAATTAATTCTGGGACAGGAGTGTCCTCACAGTTCCCAGAGGTCACAGGGAGATGAGCGGGTATTTCAGGAGTGGAATAGGATGGACTGGGTAATGTAATGAAGACGGGTTTTTATGGCCTGGTAAAGGAAGGAAACATAGGCAGGAGAGGTCCGACTACAGCCTAGATACCCTGTACCCTCGCGGGATGCTGAATCTGAACCTGACACAACAGTTTATTAATCTTTTTAGATGCTTATTTTGCTCCTCTGAAAGCCCACTATAAGCAACACAGCTCTAGTTGAAGAAGGGAAAGATGAGGGAAGAGACCAGAGTTGGGCAAAAACTAACCATATATATATTACGCAGGGTGGGCGACCAAGACCCGAGGGGTTAAATGCCTAGGTAGACTCGTACCCCATCCCTAAAAGGTCCGGGACTTGGTTGGCTCACAAGTCCTGCATAAACCTCTTGTACCTGTTCACAAACCCCAAGATTTTGGACCATTTTATCTTGGGGAGTGATTTGGCAATGTCCTCTCCTTCAAAAGTTTCAAATCTCTCCCTGGCATACCTATCACATTCTGCGAGGTAGTGCTTTGCCGTTTCTTCTTTTATTTCGCAGAAGCGGCAAAAGGGATCTGGTAGGATACCCATTACGAAGAGGTATCTTCTCAGTGGGCAGTGGCCCGTCAGAATACCTATCAGCCTCCTAATTCCCTTCCTTGAGTTAGAGAATAACCATTTCGCTTCTTTTGGTTTGATTTCCTTCAGAAACTCCTTCGATTGCCTATGTCCGGGGGACAGATTTCATTCTTTCAGGAATTGTTTCATGCCCCAGCAATTAATACTCTCAAAAAACTAATTAATTCAATCATGATTAAGAATTTAATAAGAAGAATCATAATTAATTTAATCATGTGGTATGACTAAATCATATAATGATTAATTTACTCATGACTAATTCAATCATGATTAAACTTCAATCAAAATTCTTAATCATGATTGAATTAGTTTGATTTTGCCCAACTCTGGCTACAATGACCAACTTACCAAAATCCAACCGACTCCGGATAAAAATTTTGAGATGAGAGTCGTGCTCAAGGCCAACCTTCAAAAATTGTTATCATAAACGAAAACCAAATTTACATAATTATTCTACATGTCTATTTTATTACAATCAAGACCCCTAGATGGTGTATTTTCCAAATAATGTAGAAATCTCTCCTTTTAAGTGGAATAAATTTTAATTCAAAGAA